TCGGGTGCATTTTCTGTTGGGGCTTCGGGAGCCGGTGCTGGCTGAGCTTGGGCCCGGGGCTGAGGATTGGCATTCCTGCCGCCACCTCGCCGGCCACCACGACCGTTGCCTCCGTCTCCTCTCCCTCTTCCTGATCTGCCTCGACGGCTTGGCTGAGAACCTCCTCCAGCTGACGAGCCCGCTTGAGTCTGCGTCTGGGTTTGAGTCTGTGTTGCGCCACCGTCCGACATGTCTGATACTCTGACTGGCGTAATGATGTGATGATGAGTTGATGAAATCGTGGTTGCGCTTTTTGAAATACAGCGTCTTCGAACAGGTGCTGCCAGATTAGGCGGCGGAAGTGAATCAAGAGGCTTCGCGCCCTCGCAAGAAAAGGAGAACGTGAAAGGAATGAAAGTGAATTGAGATCTAGGATTCCACTTCCACTCGGTACCCGGACCTGGGGAGGCGACTTTAAAAGAGATTCCGCAACAGAGAAAGGGCAAGACTGCATTCGAGTGAAGTCGCTGGGGCGGACTTAAGCGTTCGGATGAGTGGACCCGCTAAAATTTTGGGAGAAGGTCCCTTCCGGGCTTGGACCCGACAGGTGTGGCGAGTCTGGCGACTGCCACTGTTCGCCCACTGTAAGGCTGACAAAACAAGCAGGAGGTCACCGCCCGTATGTAAAGCCCGGGCCAGTCACTATGAGTCACCATCAATGGTACTTGCGGCTCGGCTGTACCGCCAGCTAAGACAAATCTAAGTTTGACTCAATGATTGATTATATTTTGCAGACTGCAGTCATGTTTCGTGTAGCTTTAGACCGCTTTGGGATATGTACCGCTGTCTTCACCCTGGTTGAAGCTCTTATTTTGTTGCAGGGCAAATGGCCTCAGTGGATACGCTGCATACCTCTGCACATTGCACCTCACAAGTCGGAAGTGAGGTGATACTTGTCTGAACCCTCACTTTTCCAATACAGGCTTCTCAAGGCACAGGGTTCTAGAGCTTTTGATATTCACGGAGCGGGCTCACAGATCAAGATTGTCACGTCACTTTGTGTCTGTCTCGTCGGTTTGTGACGCTTGCTGAGCAGTCACGGTTGCAGAGCCCTTGACAGACCCGCCAGGCCTCCAAAATCTCAACCGCGTCGATGGTTTAGTGGTAAAATTCTCCGTTGCCATTCAGCAGCGTCGGGGAGCCGGGGGTTCGATTCCCCCTCGACGCATTCTTTTGCTTCCGACCGCCTTGACGAGGTTAAAAGCGTTATTTTGTCACTAGGACTCATGTTCGTCGGCACTTGCTAGTAATCTCTGTTTGGAAAGGCAGGTTTGCCTTGTTTTCTCGGTACATGGGTGAGTGAAAAGGCGTTACATTGTCACGTTGGTGAACCGCATTTGCGGCTTCCGCCGCTTCGCATCTATATTTCGCTGCTTCATTCCAGGATGTTACACTTGAGCGGTCCGTCGTCCGATGCTGAAGGCTTGCGAATGGAGTTGAAAGTATTGACGATGTTCTATATACTCAGTCGAGTTGTATTATGACTGAAGAATTACTCACATTGAGGGCTCCAATGAAGGAGACCTGTTCTCAGAGCCAGCAGTTAGCAGTAAATCAATTTGCTCATGGAGAGAAGAGCACATTCTATCCCTCCACGTGTGCAGCACGCAAGAACTATCTCACGATGGAAAAGAACTACGTTGAGACGCTCTTCCCATTGTCAACTCTCACAATCAAACCCGCCAGATCGATGGGATAAATCTAGAATCTAGCAAACTCAACAGCACAATGGAATGGGAGGGGCAGATCGGGGGCCCATACCTGCCGCTATCTCCATGCATCACGACGAAATCAGGTGAAGACTCCGGTTCCCTTGGCGCCTTCGCTTCTGGGGTTGCGCGGAGAGCCAATTTCTGATTCGCCTGTGCCTTGGTTCATATCCACAGGAGAATCCCTGCAAGTGAGCAGTGAAGGCAGCATCGCCGTCGACGTGCATAATGCAAGTTGGTTTGCTCTGTTGGTTTGGGAAGTTCCAAAGCCAAAGAGGAGGATTGGAAATGATTACCCTTCCAGGCGCCTGGCCTTTTTCACAAAACCCCCAAGGAATTCCGTTTTCAACATTTCGTATATTGTACCTGTAATTATTGTCTTTTTTTTTTCCTCTACAAATATTCGTTAAGAGACCATCCGACGGTGCCTGATTAACCTTGCATATTTAGCGTCGCCAATGCTGCAGTATACAAGCAACTCCGCATCTCACATCATTCTTCCTGCTCAGTCTCCCGAGCACTCGTGATGTGGGAGACATATCAAGTCATCGCTGCCGATAACGGGGTATGGACTACTCTCCATTGGTCTCATAGGAAATGTAAGACTGACGCAGAAGGACAGCAAATAGACGAACGCTCTGAGATTGAGGTAAGCCTTGGCTCATCGCCACCCCTCAAAGGCATGATTTTAATGGTGTTGCAGAGCATAGCCTCGTCTAGTATGAGCATCAGCCAATCGATTTTAGGATACCGAATCGAGAATGGCAGGACTTACCACCGATATAAGGATGGCAGTGAGTTAGCTTTGGTGGCTTTACGTGACGCAATGGGGTATCAGCTCTCCGGCTGACAACTATGGTATAATCAGAATATGTGCTCCCGAACGACGAGATAGAAAGTGATAGACTGGGTTTGCTTGACGACTCACTCCATTTCGATACTTGCTTAACATCTGAATTAGATATGCAGCACGAGATATTCACATATACAATCGGCGATAGACTGGGACGGGCCCCGCCATGCGACGAAGATGCCAAGGTCGGGCGTGTCCTCGACGTGGGGACTGGTACCGGAATATGGGCCATCGACTTTGGCGAATTGCATCCCGAAGCTGAGGTATTCTAACCAATCATACATCTCTCGTGGCCGGCTTCTTACCCAATGCTGCAATTAGGTCTATGGTGTTGATCTTTCGCCCAATCAGCCAGAATAGTAAGAGAGCCAGCGGATGTTAACTGACGGCGTCTTGTCGATACTGATATGTCCTTCAAATGCAGCGTGCCGGAAAATGTGAGGTTTGAGATCGACGACGTGGACGAAGACTGGACATACTCAAAACCATTCGATTATATCCACAGTCGGTTCATGACAGGTGCCATCAATAATTGGAGAAAGTTCTTCGAATCCGCTTACGAGTAAGCCCTCAGTCTCGTTTGCTTCTGTCTCACTCTCTCGAAGACATCGATGAGTAATAACAGTCTTTGTGTTGCTGAATAGCCATCTTAACCCCGGCGGATGGTTCGAGGTCCAAGACGCCGACATCAACCCTCAGTCCGACGATAACACCTTTCCCAAGGACTGCGCATTAGCTGAATATGTACAACTCCTCCAATCCGGCGCGGAAGCCGCCGGCTGCTCGTACGTCGATATACCAGCGCTAGCGGGTCTCATGAATGAGGTTGGTTTCGTGGACGTCTCGATCCAGATGTATAAGTGGCCCATTAACGGGTGGCCAAAGGAAGATAGGTAAGAATAATGCACAAACGACGCCCCCAAAGCATCCATCTTTCACGAGCAAAGAGACCTTTGTGAGGACTCAAGTACTAAGGACGATATCAGGTATAAGAAATTAGGCCTCTGGACACAGGAGAACTTCAGCAGTGCTCTCCAGGGACTGTGTATGGCTCTCTTTACGCGCGTGCTTGGGTGGTCTCGAGCGAGGGTCGAGGGCTTCCTTATTAATGTGCGCCATGATGTGAGGAATAGGGATTTTCACGCTTACTTTCGAATGTGAGTTATGAGCCAGCCCCAATGGTATTTGCTTCACGTCCGTCGACTAACGATCATTTGCAAGATACTGTATTATAGGGCGGAGGCCATAGGAGGTCGAAGTCATGTAAATCTACTTTCGTGGATATGACTGAAAAGAATTAGACTGGGTATGTGGGAGGTATTGCACTTACACAGCCGCGAGGCAAGACTTGTCGTCTCTTTCCCGTACTCAAGATAAAAATTCTGCTTTCCTAATCTTCATAGCTACGGTTACAAAGATACGAAAAGACAGGCTACTGTGCACCACGGAATTACCGAAAGAGATGAGTCTCAAAACCAAGACATTTCAAAGATTTGTGCACTCATGGTTCGTTAAACCAAGATCAGAGGCGTGCGATTCAACGAGCGCAAGGCCACGGTACAAAGCAGTGGAAATACAGACTCTTACCTGACAAAGAACCGATGTTTTTACGCGTGACTCTGCAAGAAAAGCTGGTAGCCGGGCAATTGGCTCAAATAGATTCATTTATATTCAAAAAAAGACTTTACTTCCATGGCTTGCTGGTGGTGTGGAGGATATCTCTCGAGTTCTTTCCAGAAATAACCTACATCTTATGCAACCCACACGCGTAAGGGACTTTGACAATCGACCCGAACATGCCTTACTTGCTATGCATTATTGGAGGGGCTTCCCTTAGTATACAGAGTGCTTCGTTTAGGAAACCATGTTTATCGCAAATGCAGGCTGGTGGGTAGGTGACTGTCCGGGCCGGGGGCCTCAGACGGGGCATCTGATCTGGTTGGCAAGGGTTCCGGGGAGCGCGGGATGTGTTCGTCCTCCTTCCACAAATTGCTTCCCGAGCAATCGCAAAAGTTGCGGCGGGTACAGAAACCGTGATTTCTCATTCGCTTGAGCGCTTTTGAGCTCCACATTGTGACGCGAAAGCAGGGGAAAGAGACATCTTGCCAGTCGCTGTTGGTTGCATGTCTTCAGGCCAAGGAAAGAGGGGTCGCAGATGCAGAGTTGACCGGTCAGGTCTCTCGTCACAAAAAGCAGAGACCTCCCCGTCAAGTTTTTAACTTGCTTTCCGGGGCTGTTTCTTCTATAGCCGGCGCCGGATTCAAGCGTTAGTCAAGTCTTTTGCCTCATTGTTGGGCCCAGAAACAAGCAATTGAAGAGATAGAACGTAGGCCCTTACTCCCACCGGAACCAACAAACCCTGTTACGGGACATACTTTACCACCGATCACAACGCGACAATGGCTGAAGTTGATCACGAAGTCGAAATCGCCGCTGAGGTACTTCTTGGATTGTTCAATTCATGTGGCGGAGAAACTTACATTCCTATAGGAATCCGATCACAGTGGATCCGAACTTGAGGTATGTTAGATCGTAGTGCCCACAAGAACCAAGCCTCCAGCCAGCTTGGTCGAGACAAGAGCGCAAAGAGTTTTGGTCTTCAAACTAATGCAATTCAATCGCGTAGAGCGTGGCATCTTCGACGACCAGTCTCAGTGCCTCTATTCTTGAATACCGGATTGAAAATGGCCGGACATATCACCGATACAAGGATGGAAGTGAGTTGAAAGTCACCGGATGACGAGACTCCAGTACTGGATATACTGACCAATCTTTATCTTAACAGAGTATGGCATGCCCAACGACGAAACTGAGGCGGAACGGCTAGGTACGCTGCAGTGTTGCAAAGTTCCAAATTGCTCTTACTAACAAGTTAATCTAGACTTCCAGCATGATATTTGCGTCTACACATTTGACGACAGACTTGGAATGGCGCCGCCATGCGATGATACCGCAAAGGTCGGGCGAGTGCTTGACATTGGAGCCGGAACTGGGAGCTGGGCTATGGATTTTGGCGACTTACACCCTGAGTCCGAGGTACGCTGCAGCATGACCCTTGTTTGCCTCGATGAGGTGGGAAAGAGCTTGAATTTTAACTCGATATCCAGGTATTGGGCGTTGACCTCTCGCCTGTACGGGCGGATTTGTATGGGATCTCCCCGTGTTGAGCACACCATTCTTTCATGCTAATGAGCGATTCCAGCGTACCCCGAACGTCAGGTTCGAGGTTGACGATGTCGAGGAAGAGTGGACTTATTCTCAGCCTTTTGAGTATATCCACAGCCGATTTATGACCGCAGCTATTGACGACTGGGGTAAATTCATCAAGAGGTGCTACGAGTAAGTTACGCAATCAGAGCTGTACTTTCTTTTGAGCTCCCTGTACTGATCAAAATAGCAATCTTACCCCTGGTGGATACCTAGAACTTCAAGAAGCCGACGTCATGCCCAAGTCTGACGACGGCTTGTTGCCCAAAGACTCTGCGATTGTCAAATACGTCAATATGTTGCACGAGGCTTCCGAAATTACGGGGCGCGTATTCGTCGAGGCGCCTCCGCTGAAGAACAAGATGATTGAAGCTGGCTTCGTCGACGTTGAGCTCCGCGTCTTCAAGTGGCCTCACAACACCTGGCCCAAGGATGAGAGGTACCGTACTTACTCAGAGAGTGTGGAGACCCATAAGAATGGAAGGGAAAGGCTAATAGCGTCGACTAGGTACAAGAAGCTCGGCTTATGGACGCAGGAGAACTTCGGTTCTGCGCTCGAAGCCTTGTGCATGGCCGCCTTCACCCGCGTGCTCGGTTGGACGCGCGACGAGGTCAACGTCTTCCTCATCGACGTTCGGAATGACCTCAAGAACAAGAGTTACCACGCATACTGCCCCGTGTAAGTACCGTTATTGTCCATGACATTGATCTGCTGATTCGGGTTGCTGATGAGAGAAAACAGCTACTGCATCACTGGCCGCAAGCCGGAGAAGGAGAAGACTCCGCCGGTTCCTCAGGAGGAGACGGAGGCAGAGGAGGGAGCGTAGTGATGATGCGAAGTCAGTGGCTTTCGGCTGCCGGCGGATTTCTATAGTTATAGGTATAAGAATCCTCTTAGTTGATGAGAATATGCTTCTGTCCTACAGGCCACCCCAAGTGGGACGATTTGGATCTCTCGCAGCCGTGATGAATGGATCGATTGATGTCAAACATACAACGAGATTTATACCAACCATCTGCACTGGGGCTTTCAAGGCTAAGCTTCCTGCTGGCCTGACGCTGATCGGGAAGCAGCCGCACGTCAACCTAGCGCCGCGACCGTGAAACGATCCAGACATACGCATGGTGTCCGGTCGATCCTAGGATGCTTTAAGCAGCGGCTATGAGAACCAATAGTAAGAATTCTGATACATAACTACGCGGTAACAAGACCAACAAGGCAAAAGGCAAGGCCAAGTTGGCAAACTTTACAGAAAGAACATTGAAGCTAACGTAGTGCTTGCATCCGGGTGGGGGGCTGAGGCGGCAGGATGTTGGAGGAGAAGCGCGCCAAGGGTAATCCGGATGCGCCGCAGTGGACTGCCACCAACAGCCCAGCACTGAGATGCCCTGGTCCATCTCCCGACGATGCCTACGGAGGCCCTGTCAAGTTAAGATAGGCAGCCGTTCAACCCATCACGGAAAAGCAAACTAACTTGGCGCCACGGCCAATCTTTGTAGGCTTAGAAAGGAAATGTCATTTTAAGTATTCGTGAAAGAGGAGAATGAGATGAAGCTAGAATAAAATATCGAATTGGAGCCAGGTTGGCAAACGATGCCCCCCGGCTCACCTAACCCAGTCCCCGGGGCCACGGTCACGGATGCCTAGAAAGGTAGAAGCTCTAACGGTTTGTCCCAGCGCGCTGGCTTCTCATGCCCCCGGCGCGTCCCCACTTTTCCGTGCGGTGCTGCGGTGCAAAGGCCCGGCGAAGTTTGCTGCGGCACTGCCACTTCCTGCTGTTTCCCCACCCGAAAATAAGCAGAGAACCCGCCAAACTTCTACCGCCGTTTCTAAACTTAGACCTTTTTGGCGGTAGGCAGGATGCAGACACGGCCACACTATGGACACTACTACACCTGTCACCAACAAGCCTTGCCTACCTTACCGACTATCTGGTAGATCTTGGAGGATCGTTGGAAGATTGTAATTTTATACTATCGGAATCTAGGCATTTCGAGGTCGAGGCCACGATGCTTGCTGCAACATATAAGCATGGTGGTACCGCCATTGACGATGGAAGTGGGTGTTGTTGCTGCACCTCTCATCTTCTAATATCATCAGATCTCGACGGGTGTGATACTCGCTCCCAAGAGTCCAACTTGATGCCCGTCTCGATCCCATCTTGACACCAAAAACACTTACACTGACGCATCATCATCAACACTATACCTGCTGTCATGAGTTCATCACCCTGCACGCTCGCGACGTGCGACGTCTCCGACAGCCCGTACGGCTACCGCCCAGCACTTACAGGCAGCGCCGTCTTCGCCTCCGTCTCGGCTCTCTGCCTCGTCATCAACGGCGCCGTCGCCGCCCGGTCAACACAACGACACGCCACAACACCCTTCTCCGTCATCGTGACCCTCGCATGCGTAGTCGAGTTGCTTGGCTGGGTGGACCGCATGGCCGGCTGGAGCGATCCCTGGGCCGTGTACCCTCTCCTGCAGAGCAAGGCCCTGCTCACTATTGCCCCCATCTTTGTCACTTCAAGGTACGTCTAAGTTCCCCTATGAGATCGTGTTAGTCTCTACAGAAATCTCGGGTTCTAATTCTCTATTTTACAGTATCTACGTCTGCCTCGCACCAATGATCCGGATACTAGGCACAGAACATTCCTTCATCAAGCCTGAACTGTATACCACTATCCTCCTCCCGCTAGACGGCCTCGCCCTCCTCCTCCAAATCGTAGGCCTCGGTGTCAGCTTCCAAAACGTGCCGTACACCCTCTCACCCCAGGCCTCCTACGCACCCAGCGACGTGGGCGCGAAAATCGTCCTGGCGGGCCTGGCCGTCCAGCTCGCGACCCTGGTTGCCGCGGGCCTTTACCTCGCTTCCATCCTCCTCCGCGCAGCCCGTTCCTACCGGCAGTACGGCTACACCACCTTCCACCGAGACGTAGGCTACGTGCCCCTGACGGGCCGCTTCCGCATCTTCGCCGGCGCAGTGCCGTCCGCCATGGTCGTCTTGTTCGGCAGGATGTGTTTCAGGGTCGCCGAGTATGCAGAGGGCTTTCAGGGCCCGCTGGCGAGGGCCGGTGGGGAGGGACTGTTTCTCGGGCTCGAGGGGTTTCTTGTCGGGTACGCGCTCTTGGCGATCGTGGGGTGCCACCCGGCGTTGTTCTTGAAGGATGGGAAGATGGTTTCAAGGATCGAGTCGGAGCCGTTTGTCGGTATAGATGGCGTTGGGAGTACCGGCGGGAACGGCGATCACGAGAGGGATTTGGAGGAGCTTAGCAAGGTGTACCAGAGGCACCACGAGGAGGAGCAGAGGCTGTCGAGATTTGAGCGTGTTTGAAGATGATACCCCCTTTAAAAGTAGCGTGCGTTGATCATTCTTGGTTCATCATTCAAGGGACCTAGCCGAATTTACATTTTATATCTTTTCACTTTTCTTTTCGGCTCTCTGAGGTCTCTCACTCATAATGGAAACTTGCAGAATATACCGCATGTCTTAAGTATAAATCAAATGTTTCGCAAACCAGCAAAAAGTCCTAGTAGCTCATGTAGAACAATGAGGTAATTGCGGTACACTTACAACATCAGAGTAGTTAGTCGTTGCTATCACCATTGACTCAATTAATCTCATGGAGCTTTTCTATGTGTAGTCAAGACTCTTAAAGAGGCTCAACAATTACCTTAGTCTTCAACCAGACGGACCTATAACCATAATAGAGCTCTACTAAGTTCTCCAAACATGGTAGCAATCACAATGGGTCTCGACTTCTCGGCTCACCCATACCTCGGCAACAGGGATAAGATTCCCATACAGAAGAGCATCCGTCTTATTCTACAACTCGATAAATACTTCACCAAACCCTGTCGACACACACGCACGCGGGAGGGGGCTGGTCTGACAGGGCGACTCTACTCAGACCACAAGTCCACACTTATTGGGACTTTGGACGCTAACGTGATTGGTCTCGAAACGTGATGCCCACGATTATCAATAGTGCTTACACGTTGAAAGACCGAGGTCCACATCGGACGCCTCACCCGCCAGGGCAATATCACGCTGACCAAATAGACATGGAGATTCATATAAAATGCCAACCGTCATTGTACGATGGAGTCTGTAGTAACGTTCAACCACTCTTCTTCTCTTGCAATCGGGTCAAACTTGCTTTCGACCGTTTAGAACAAAAAAAGTCTAGATCAAACCACAGCATCCTCCTACAATGCCTAGCAAACCTATCATCGTGCACACACCCGGAGCATGGCACTCGCCAGAGCACTTCCAAGACCTCCGCGACGAACTACACACACGAGGTTGGGAGACCCACGGCGTGAGGCACCAATCCGTCAGCTCTGAGCCGCCAACCAAGGGCTTATACGACGACGCGGCCGCCATCGGTGCCGTGCTGCAAGAGCTCGCCGACCAAGGTCGGCAGATCGTCCTGGTCGCTCATTCATACGGCGGTCTCGCGGCAGCTGAAGGCGTCCAGGGGTCCGGGTTCAAGCAGAGGGCCGCGGAGGGCAATCCGGGCGGCGTCATTATGTTTGTATATCTCGCTGCGTTTGTGGGGCAAAAGGGGCAAAGCATCTTGAGCATGACGGGCGATGTGTATCCCCCGTGGACGAGGGTAGAGGTGAGAGCTTTTTGCCTCAATTATGTTCTTATAGAGTCTTGATGTGCTGACAAAATACGTTAGGACGGCCGAATCCATATCGTGACCGCCGATGACCCCCTCTACGGAGACGTACCCGCCGAGGCGAGGGAAAAGGCAAAGAGCTTGTTGAAGCACCAGACGACAATCTCGTTCGAGGAGACAATGACGTACGAGCCCTGGTATGACATTCCCTGCATGTACGTCGGCTGCGAGGACGACCAGGCGATTCCGTACTTTGCGCAGGAGCAGATGCAGCAGCTCCTGGGACCCGAGGCGACCAAGTTGAAGTTGAAGTCTGCGCACTCGCCGTTCCTTTCTGTTCTGTCTGAGACGGCTGATGCTGTTGAGCTTGCTGCGGAGAAGGGGCTGGAGGCACTGTCTGCTTAAATAAAAAATAACGGAGGCTTTGGATGGTCGAATTCGCTACGGAAGGGAGTATTTTGAGCGTAGCATTGTATTGCTAGCGATTGGAGGTTTTTTTTTTTTTTTTTTTTTTTTTTTTCGGTGTGATGTTATGCCGTAGCTACGAGTGTTGATAATTGAATTCATGCTGTTTATCTCCAATATACCAGCGCCAAATATAGTCAGTCTATAGATCAAAGTATATGGTATGTACTGGCGCTTGTGTCGTGCTTGTTGTAGCTTTTGACTTGGTTGAGATATGAGTTTGGTTGGAGGTTCATTGCAAGTAAGATCATCAGCGGAAAGACATAAACAACATCCCAAAATGCATCCAACGCATGGGCTTCTTCATGCCTACGGCTGGCAAGCGAAACTAGCAATGCTATTGTATGATTGTCATCTCAACCTTACTTCAACACGTGGTAATTCATGTATTACTTTAATCACCTGGATACCAACCTCATTGATACGCATACTTCTCAACAGGCGATGATTCCAATGGCATGGAAGTCGTTGCCTAGGTTAGACGGTTGATGCAGAGAACACAACATTGTCGATAGTAACACATGATCCATGATCTTTGGCACCTTGAAGGAGCGTCATGTCGTTCCTTCTGTAAATTTAGATAAAATGAGAAGAGACGACCGCAGAATAAGCACATAGCTAGCAGTAGGCAGCCATCAAAAGGTGAGCAATATCCGTGGTGCCTTGAGACAAAGATGCCCAGGAATGGTCGCATGAAGAAGACGAGTTCCCAAAAAGGGTTGCTGAGATGAGGTAAGGTTGCCGGGATGCACCCCGCCGTGAGACCCCCACCAAAACCCTTTCCAAGGCACCAGCCTGTGTGCACCTTGACGTAGCCAGCCAAGCAGCAGGAACAGCCGGCATTCCGTGTAAACAAAAGCAGGAAACAATCAGCCGAAGCATAGGAAGGTAGGTAATTACAAGATTGACTACAATTCAGCTTACCTTGCTTCACCGAAAGACTCCATTCTCACACATCACCACCGCAGAAAACTAAACCCCATTCATCGGATATAACTACAAACTTGAATCTTTCACCCCGCCGCTACTCAAAACTTCTTCAGCACCACCTCACCAACAGACAACCATGGCGCCCCCCTCCCAGCTCACCGTCGCGACCCTCTCCGTTACCAGACTCCTCAAGGAGGAGATCTCGTACGAGAAGGAACTCATCCAGCAAAGGGGCAAGGTCACGACGCTGGAGAACGAGATCAAGGAAGGCAAGCCCGATGAGGATGGAAACCGGGAGTACATGCTCAAGCAGCTGGTAGGTTTTCCGACCCATCGCCAGCGAATACCGCTGGAACTCTCGTCCTTCCGAGGCACCAGTGCTTTGTTACGTTATACTACACCTCGCTGACTGACTTGGGGGGGGCTAGAAACTCGCGGTGGAGGAGACGCAAAAGGTGTTCCCCGAGCTGAGAACCCGCGTCGAGGATGCGACCGTCAAGCTGGAGGAGCAGATTGCCCTGGCCGAGAGCGGCGGTGCGTCGCCCGAGGAGCTGGAGACGGCGAGACTTGCGCTCGCAAAGGGCAAGGAGGAGAAGACGTATCTCAAGGACGACGTCTCTGCTTAGAATTGTGATTATTTCTTTTCCCCCGCGTTCTGATATCAAAGATGAGAGGAGGTTCGGGATTGCGTTGTGTTAAGGGCAGGCGAGCGTCAGAGGCACGATGGCTGCCTGCTTTAATGGGTATCTCGATTGAGGGACTATTCTAGGATCCTCCGAAGCATTTAATTTGTCTAGCTGTCCACCTCCATGCTCTCCGGTGCGTCCACTGTGATTTGAGGCGTATCGCCTCCTGACGTGATCTGCGTATCATGGCGGTCATCCATCTCGACGTCCTCTCCCTCTTCAATCTCGCCCTCGTCATCATCTTGAGGCTGAGGGGTGCCACTCTGACTCGGAACGGCGCTGCCAGATCGTGAAAAGCCGCCCAGGCCACTCGCTCGAGGCTTGAGACCCTCGGATTGATCCTCCGACTGACCTTCGTGCGCCGACGCCGGTCTCGGCACGGCACCGCTATCTGGGTGCGGGGTGACGTTGCCGCTGGAGACGTGCCGAGGCGTGTTGCCCCCTCTAGAAGCGTCGCCATCCTCCTCGCCGTCCTCGTTCATGCCCTCCCGTCTCTCGACCTCCTCCTTCTCGTCGCGGATCTGTCTGCGCAGTTGCATGCCTTCATCCATAATTTTGCTGAACTGATCGCGTCGCTCCCGCCAAGTCACCGCGTAGGTCTCACTTTCCTTCTCCAGGTCGCGAATCTCCTCCTCGAGCTTCTTGAGGTTCGACTCCTGCTCCCCGCGCGGCCGCAGACCCTTAGCCATGAGCGCGTTGGCGAGCTTGTCGTACTCCTTACGTTGGGCAAGCGTTGCCCTGGCGCCATCCAGCTGTTCGCGCAGCCGCGCGTTGTTGTCTCGGACGTTTTGGCATTCCTCGAGAATGCGTTGCTGGTCGGCCTTGTAGCGTTCGCGCTCGCGGACATTCGCGTCGAGAAGAAATTGCAGGCGGGCGATACTGCTATCGAATGCGGCAAAGTCGAGGGTGAGGTCGTCTTTGATCTGATCAATCTCTCGCAAAGTTTGAGCGGTCTTCGTCTCCTCCTTCACCTCAGTATCGGCGCCATTGTCGCCGTTTGCGCCCTCGGGTGGTGGAGTGGGTTGTTGTTTCGAGTGGGCATTTACAATCGTCGAGATGGATGTGAGCCGCTTGGTGATTCGCTTGAAGGGTTTCTCCTCAATGTTGACCAGTCGGGTCTTGTGCAGCTCCTGCTCCTCCTTATCATCCAGAAGACCCCAAGTCGACGCCATTTTGCGGTATTCAACTAAGTGAAGGTGTATTTTGCCGCTTGTCGATTTGCAAAAGCTAGATGAGCTTCGACCCTGGGGCTATGCTGTAGGAGGACAATTCCTCGCTGGTCCTCCCAATCGCCTCAAGGATAATGAAGCCGTGGTTCTTCTGAGTTGGGTGGTGCAAGATAGTGCGATTGATGTGAGCGACAATGGCCCGCGACACAACGGATATCACAGTTGACGATGATGGAAACAGAGGAGTGAACTCAAAGGAGCAGCTGTGGAGGAAAAGAAGCTCTAGGTTGTGCACTTCTTCTTTCACAGCCTTGCAGTAGCATGCCAGCAGCCGCACATGCCTTGCTTAGCGTAGATTGGTCAGCTACCTCAAGCCTCAAGCGCTGTAAAGTGGGTCACTATCCCCTCTACCTGCCTAAGATAAGGTAACCTAAACCCGATCGCACTGTCAAAGCGTTCACCTTCCTAACATTCAGTGATCTCATCTTCTCAAAAACACACCAACTTCCTCAGGCGCAACAGCATTTCTTTGGTCGCAAAACTCAGAAACACCACAACAAAAGGACGGTACAACTCTGCAACACTAGGACATGCCGTCTCAGGAAGAACAAGAACTGCTGGCCAGAATCGGCCAGCTTGCGGGTACGTAGTATTTTTTGTAACAAGACACAGGCGACAAGAGCGCGTAGTCTCTAACGTAGTGGCAAACAGGCAAGATCAACCTTCACAAGGCCCAGCAAGCTGGCGTTCAATCAGTCCCAAGCAGCCAGGCTTCCTATCATCGCCGTATGTTTAATATTGAGACTGACAAAACATCCTGCGCTGACACATCATAGACAACACTCACCGACATGGCGCCTTCCCCCACAAGCATCGAGTCCAGCCGTACCCCTCCACCCGAGGAGGCCCGACAGGTTTTCGGCACCGGTCCTTGGTGGTAAACAAAGATGGAACCCAAACACCTTCCGATTCGTCGTCACTCGCGGAGGGTTCTGTCTCGACGACTTCCTCAGGCGCCTGGATCTCGAAGAATACTCGCGGTCAGAGGTCGCTGATCAACTCGGCCGTTTACGACAAGACCAATGAAGCACATGTCAAGGCCATCGAGGTGTCGCGTCAACAGAAGATTCGTCAGCAGGACGCGCGCGAGCAACAACAGCTTGCCAACCATTTCCAACGCTACAGCGGCAATGCAAGCGCACCGCATACTCCTACTAACCCGGCAGCGACAGGCAATCACGAGATAGAGATTCAAGGTATTCGCTTCCGTGTCGCGAACAGCGGCAGCAAGCTCATCAAGGTGTCGGGTGCGTTACTATCACAGCCTTGCACAGTAGAGCAAACTTACAATCGTACAGGAGATTTACACCCAGTCAACGCTACCCCCAAAGTCGCCTTCGTCGGAGGTGTCAAATTTCATCGAAGCAAGACCGGCAATCTGTACCGCGACGGTGTGCTCAAAGCTCAACGGTATGAACCCTTTGCTCCTGGCTGACAATTGCTAACTTGGGTCGCTCCCCCAGCCAAAATGGCATTAAGAAGGTCGACGTGCCTTGCAGCATGTTTTCGCTGACTGGTATTTTATTCACAATCTTATTCGATCGCCCACGCAATATCCGATCCGACAGATTTGGACGATTTCTTGCTCAAGTGGGTATGATATACCGGACTCCACTAACCACCATCATTTCATTTTAGGTTCATGTGCCAAGGGACCATCTTGTCGATACAAGCACGATGCTTCGAGAGTTGCCATCTGCCGGGAGATGCTGCACAAGGGGACCTGCGCCAGTGGGGACTCTTGTGATCTGTCCCATGACTTGACGCCCCAGCGCATTCCGACTTGCGTTCACTTCCTCAAGGGCAATTGTGCCAACTCTACTTGCCCTTATGCTCATTCTAGTGTATCCTCAAGTGCTCTGGTCTGCCGTTCCTTTGGGATGTACGGCTACTGCGACAAGGGAGACGAGTGCGAAGAGCGACACGTTTTCGAGTGCCCCGACTTCAGCAACACGGGCAAGTGTAAAACCAGGGGCTGCAAGCTCCTTCACCGCGAGAGGGCAAGCGTCCTTCGGAAGCGGGCGGACGGCGCCGAAATGGAGGATCTGTCGAGCGATGACGAGCCGGTCGATAGCGACGACGTGGACTCTGACGAAGTGGAGGAGTTTATCACCGATGGTGCTGGTGATGATACTGACTTCAAGGTTCAGAAGGATTTTATCTCTTTCTGATTGTGATCTGATGCCACCTTGCCGAGGCCGAATGGTCTCCTTTCACTACTAACATGCTTGCTATCCAGTCCTTGAAGGAGTCCAGACCAAGGAAGGCCTCGAGCCTTTTGACGGTGGGCGTACTTCAAGGTCACGAAAACGATTGGGGAAGAAAACCACAAACTATACCCACAAAGAAAATGGAGAAACAGAGCATTGATACCAAGCACAAAGCAAAGAAGATTAGAAGATCATGATAATGATTATGAAAAAAAAAAAAAAGACGAAACAGAGATAGCAGAAATGAATAGAAATATAAATTACGGAAGACGAAGAGAAGAAACAAAAATGTGATGTATTGTATCAGCCAAGATAAAATAGAACGATGTCTCAATATTCCATGTCCTGTTGAAGTCTGATGTCTCTTTTAGTCTCATGAAACATTCATTCTAACAACAAGAAAGATGGAATTGATTGTCTACCATTAGTTAATTAGTACGTGCTACTGGCGTAAAATCCCCCATGTGGAAGAGTGACATTGGGCCAAGCATCATTTCCGCGTGCGGGCCGGCCCAACTGTTCGCGGGTGTCTCAACTAGATCAATTAAAATTTCCATTAGAATTTTACCCCGCCATTCCTCTCCCCTGTGGACTCCTGAAATCAGCCGTCATTCGATGACTATTCCTTGCGCTGACACACGCACACAAGCTTCAAGTTCCCACTGCCCAGAGACCCCTCTTGGCCCTTTCTTCGCCCCCATTTCCAGGTCGGAGCAGTCGGCGCCACTGTCCACATGTTGTCTTCTGATCAGCCCTCCTTTGTCCCCTCGGGCAGCAGGCTAGGGGAGCTTATTGCGAGGCGCTAATGGGGACCCGTCATTTGGCGGCCATATCGTGGTCGGATCGGGGGGCTTGCTGATCTGAGGCTGCTGCCGCTGCCTTGTGGGAGGATTCGCGTCTTTGAACAGCACCGCCATCTGCTCAGCCCCTTGGACTACACACTCTCTCATCCTTTTCCCGAAGCTGAGAATAGCACCAAGTCTGACAACACTGCCTGTCCTGCGTTGAACATAGGTCGTTGTTGTTTTTTACTCATGGATAATTGAACAATTGCTCCTTGCCAAAGACACCTCCTTTCTCCTTGTCGCTGTCATTAATCTCCCGGCCCTCCTATTTCTAGACCTGACCTACCTAGTCCAAGAGCTCCAAGCATACACGCTGGATCAGCACTAATCCTTTCCCGACGTCATCATGGGCATACGCGATGTTCTCAAGAAGAAGGAGAAACTCGACAACGGCGACCACAGCAGCAAGGATGCAGTAGACAGGCTGGCGGCCCCCGAATTCAAATTCATTCGATCAGACACACACACCCAAGAGGTCATCCACCCCCCGAGCGGGCCCCCGGGCTTCGACGACGGCAAGGAACAGTACCTGAACCCGAACGGCAACGACGGCGGCGGCAGCGGCCAGAAGCCCCGGCGCAGCCTCGACGTCTTCTTCGGCAACAGCCGCTCGCGCAGCGCGTCCGCCTCCTCGCAGGCGAGCTCGACCTCAAACTCCCACTCGAACAATAATGGCAAGATCGGGAGACGGCTGTCGGAGCGGCTGCACCTCAGTCGCTCGCCCGCCTCGTCAGAAAACGTCCCGCAGAACCTACCCGACATCGTGACCACGGCCGAGGGCGGCGAGGGCGACGAGCTGCAGTGGGAGAAGCGCGCGACCATGCTGGCTTCGGCGAATAAGAGCAGGCCCGCGACGCCGTTGGCGAACGACGCGGCGGGTGGTGGGGGGGATATGGCAAGGGGCAGGACGCAGGGCGCGGCGGTGTCGTCTCCGGCCATTGACGAGGATATCCAGGAAGCCATCCGGCTTCACGAGGCGGGTGATTTTGAGAACTCGACAGCCATGTTTGCCCGCCTGGCTGATCCGAAAGGGGCGAATAACACGCTGAGCCAGTTTTTATACGGTCTTTCTTTGAGGTGAGTTGCCTTTTGCCTTGCATGTGGACTGGTCTCGACTCCCACTCGGCACTTTCCCCGTACCTATAAGACGGGATCATGGCGCGGGGGCGGGCCATGGCTCGCCGGGCGATCACGTTGTACGGGAGGACGGGGGAGAGTTTTGGAGCAGGCCCTTACAGGTGCCACGATACTTGGGTTATTTGGACGGATTTGCTGACAAGGGTTAATAGGCACGGATGGGGTTGCGAACCAGACCCAGAAGGGGCCATCAAGTATCTCTCGGCGGCGGCGTCGAATGCGGCAACCGTCGAGCAGATGGCGTTGAAGGCAGGGCTCAAAAAGGGTGGTGCTGCCAAGGGCGAGCTCGTTCTGGCCATATTCGAACTGGCGAATTCCTTTAGACACGGTTGGGGCACAGCCAAGGACCCAATAGCGGCAAAGCAGGTGAGTTATCCCGTCCGCAGACCGGAGGAGGGGAGAGGGGGGGCAAGGAATTTGAAAGCCTAAGGTGGATATGCCTTGAAGGTCTAGAACTGACATCTTGTCGTCATAGTACTATGAGACTGCGGCGAACCTTGGAGATACTGGTGAGTCTGTCATGATGATGCACTCCGAGGCGTTGAGGCCCAATTGATGTGTAGCGGTGCGCTAACCCGCCTTGCCCGTCTCAGATGCTATGAACGAGGTAGCCTGGTGCTATGTAGAAGGCTTCGGATGCAAAAAGGACAAGGTACGTTTGATCACATATCACCCATCAATGCAAGCGGCATTGCGTCTACCGGGCCTTGCGACGTGAGGCCCAGAACTTGGTCTCTAGGGGCAGCTAGCATCAGCCTCAGCAGCCTCAGGTATTGTGTGGCTTGCACTCAGCGAGACCACTCATATCATGGAATGTGTGAGAGAGCGCGCTAATACAGGTTGACGTCCTACTTGGGTTGCCAGCAACCTGCTTTGGTCCAAGTTGGGCATCAACACGGCGAACCCAAAAGACGGCCGCAAACAGGAACCCGCGCGGGACGCATGCTCAATGTCATCACATGAGGCTGACAACATGTCCAGTTCGCGGCAGCCCGTTACTACCGGTTGGCTGAAAAGAATGGCAACAAAACACTAGGTAATTCATGGTAAGTCGAGCCTGTCTGGTCATTTCTTTCTTTTCTTATCCACTGGTTCGTTGGGGGGAGGGTTTCCCCAGAGTTGGATTCGGCACATGCATCACTGGGGAGGAGGGGGAAAGCTGCAGCTCCCCTGTCGCGGATGACTTGCGCGCTGCGGCATTGATAGGCTCCCAAGGCTTTGTTTTACTCTGCCTCTTCCCCCAAATGCGGGAGCTCGCCCTGTCATTCAATCCTCTTGGATGACAGTCAGCTTTTCCCGGAGCTGCACGCGGTTACCTGCCACTGCAAGCCCTCCTGCGCTGCGCCGCGTTCCCCAGAGCGCCCGCGAAGACTCGATGCTGCTTCCCAGGGCTGCAATTCGTCGCGATTTCTTTCTGCCTGCCTGCTTGCCCCCCTATCTTTGCGTCCCTGACGCCATTGCCCACACAATCTGGGACCACCCCGTGTGGCCCGAATACCTCTGTGATACCCAAAGGCTGACCACCCGCAAACTCGATAGGATCTGGAAGGAAAAGTACGACCCAGACGCCGGCGACAAGAAGAAGAAGTAGAGATAAGGAGGCAGAAAGTCACGGAACGGGAGGGGCCAACTGCGTGCATGAGATGACCGAACCACCGGTGACACGGCATCACATACTCGAAACGGATGGCACGTTCTGCTTCGGCAGTCCCGCTCAAAGTCTCGCTCAGCTTCTACCCGGCGGTCACATTTTCCCCCTCCCTCTCTCTCTTTTCCTGTCGCGGTGTCACCCAACGTGCGAGATCGTGACACGGGGCTTCGGCCGTTCCTTGGGCCATCCTGATTGAGTGTCCGAAGCACAGCGACGGTGTCGCAGAGGGGGAGGAATGGGGGGCACAAAACATGAGTTCCTTTGTCAGCCTTCCCTCGATGAGTTCATGCTTTACCCCCTTACCCCTCTCCTGAGCGCCCTCACATGGTGGGATAGGGGTACCACGGCGATCTCATCAGACGGGACAAACCGCGTACGGCGACAAATAGACACAGGTACCCCATGTGGGAAACAACGAGTTATCGACGTGCTCTACGCTGTGCGTCGTCAGACGGGCGAAACCTGTTGGTCTCGCGCGTGTGGGGAAAGCAGAGGAGCTCGCCTCGTAGCGAGGCAGGGAAACGGGGAGACTAAGCTATGATGGACTTCTTGTGAAGCCTCTGCCTAGTCTCAGCACGTCGTTGAGATGAAACTTCCAGGCAAAGCCTCTGGGCTCTTTGTAGGATACGTGGGGCTTGTGGCTTACAGCAAGTTCCCGGCTGCTATTACGAAGGCTAATACTGCCCCTCGAGCTTTGTCATTTTCCTGTTCTACATACCCCGCAATATCATCCTAGGCAATCATATTTCAGGAGAAGCGATGCATTATATTCAACGAGATCTCATCGGCCGTCCATTGTGCGGGTAAATATGACTGATGACGGACGCCGGGTAGACGGGGCCACGGGCCACGGGCCACGGAGCACGGGTGCACCCGACCCGGGTATCTACACGGGAGGGAAAGTACTCCGTGCCTCTCGCCCGGGCCGAACCAACATCTCGCGACCTGTCCCGACGTCGTCCGAGGATCGCCTGGTTTCTCCAAGGTGTCACGGACTTGCTTCGTCCAGCAGCCTGTGAGGAACGAGGGGCTATCAGGGGTGGTGATACGCAGACATTGTAGAATCGTAGCATCGTTACGTCAAACTCCCTCTTTCTTCCTCTTCATTTATTTTCAACTCTTTTGGCGCTGCTCTGTGACCCAGAAAGGACAAAACATCATGGACTTCCACGATGAACTAACCCGGTAACCTCCCTACCTCACTCAAACTGCCTTGCCTCCTCGCCCTCACCCGACCATCCGCCCCTTTCTTCTTTCCCGCTTTTGTATTTGTTCCTGCGGGCTCCCGTCCACCTCAGGGGTACCTGTGTGTGGAGAGCTGTACGAAGGGTGCCGCCAAAATGGTTACACGGCGTTTTGTCCTCGAGAAACATGTTGTTTGCAGTGAGACACCAGGAGCCGATGAGACATGCCTTTTGAACTTCCCCCGTCTTTCCTTAACCTATCGGCGGTGTCCCCCTCGAAAATGGGACCGCGAAACAGACCACTTGAGGCTTCTCTATTAGGGTTCGGTGAAGAGAAGTACTTCGAGTATGTATGACCGTCTATACCGAGAACCGCCCATGCAATTAGCAAAGGCAGAACAACTAGTAAGATGTATGACCGTTTATACCTGTTTTCACCGTCTATCGATTCCGTTTCATCCAAAGTAGCATACAAATCAGCCCCACGAAACGGTGGGCAGCGGTTGTATCATACCTTGACTCAAGCGCGCAAAAGAAGCGAAGACGCGAGCAGAAGTGTATCGTCATTGACTTGCTCCCCTTTTCTTCCGAACAAGACTCACCTGAACATCGGACAGAGAATCTTGGAGACTGCAGTAGAACGTGCCTTAGTGGGAAAGAGAAATGGCACGGGGGATGCATCTCCTCTCCCAGTCCTGGTAATCCGATCTGCAAACTCACACGTGCCGCGCGCATTTCTTCTTGCATTAATTCTGCATAGAGAAGATCGATCGGGTTCATCTTCCTTTTTTCCCAAATTCCTCCGCAAAGATTGAGGGAGTCATGGAGCAGCAGTTCATCTCGTCAAAGCCCGTTTGCAGCAAAAGCGGGAAGAAGAGGAAATCTCTTCAAGCTATCTTACGTTAGGAATTCACTTACACAGAGCTAGGCGCAACGGCCCAATGGGAAGATGCAACGTCAGCAAAACCACCAAGATTTCCGTCGACCGGACCTTCTGGATCGCATCGCAAGACTCACCTTGGCCTCACCTTAGTTCCGTTTCGAGACGCGATGTCGGGAAGAAGAGGGTAGGCATTCTCTCCTCCAAGAAAAGAGACGAACTGCTGCTTCCTCTCTCATCATGTTCTTCCCCCCATCCGAACTATGCGGATTGCGGCGACCCAAGCTAACTCATAGCTTGCATGAATTCTCTCTCTCACCATTTCTTCTGCTCACCTGCCCTCGCGATGCGATAGTAGTAAGGAAGAAGCCGAGCGGACGATGAGAAGGATCGGAAGAAATCCCCATCGCCACTAGACCGTTCCTGCACCTAGCAGCACAAGTGCAATCTTCTGGAGGTGAAGGAAAAGGCCAGTAAATTGCGGGAAACTGTAACGCGCAGAACCGTTTCCCCTCCATCCACACCTTGAGACTACTCTATTCACCGGTCCTTGACCTAGGCTCTGACCTTGCCTTAGCATCTGTCGCCTCTGAGGAAAGTACGGTGAGACTAACATGACCTCTTCACTGTCTACCTCATGCCATTTTTTTTTCTGGCATTTTGTCCTTCTCTATTATGCGTATACATGGGCTGCTCACAATTTTCGACTTACACGCCCTCCTCGCATGGTTCTCTGTACCACGCACAGCAGCAGCAGCGGCGGCGGTAGCGGCGGCGGCGGCTCTCGCTGCAGCTGGGGCAGGAAGCATCATGCGAACTCATGCAGGACAACTACGTCGACGTGCGCACGGGAATGGAGACATCCGTGGAATAAGAGACTGAGAGAGATTTCCAAAGACAAAGCCAGAGGAAAGAAAAACCTACCATAATGCCATCAGCTCAAACCCGTGACGGGCTCCCCCTCCCCCCTGCCTACCTACCCACTGGACGACTGCAACGCATCTTCGCTCCCGTGAGCGCGAGCTCAAGCATGCGGCCTCGAGAGTGTCTAAGACACGCATACGAGCGACGACAGGTTGGGTGGGTGGGTGGTGTTTCCTTCCCTGTTCTGGAGTGCATCTACTCAGGATGTAAGTAGTGAACTCCCCAATGAAGAAGCCCACGCGAGGAAGAGGAGAATTCTGTTTCAGTCCCTGTTTGCGTCTGCCTTGTCTGCCGTCTCAACCCCTTTGTCTTCCATTATACATTCCTATTTTTGAAGCCGCCTAGATGGCCATGGCGCGACTTGTTGCCATTTCACCAACATCATGATCACTATGTGGGACATCCCACAATGCCAAAGACATGGAGGATAATCTCAGTTGCCCCTTCTTGGGGTGCCTCACCTTACCTCACCTTACCTGGCTTCCCCTAACCTCTCACGCAAGCTCCCTTCCATGACACAAGTGAGCTCATCGAAAAAAAGACAAGCTGATCTTGGCTCCAAATCTCTAAGAAAACCTGCAGGAAAAGAAAAATCAACCTGGCAAACGCACCACCACCATCTGCATCCTTCCCACCCGCACCGCCGAGTGACTACTCTAGCGTTGCGCGTACAAGTGTGGCTTGCCTCTCTCCCTCTCACGGCACATCTTTCCGCAGCTCTCACTTTGTGCCACCAGGCGAAAACAATGCAGTTCGGCGGCGCTACTCTGTAGTCTGTTGTACTTCTTCAGCCGGAAACAATACCATTCTTCTCCAAAAAGCTCTTGGGTCTAAATTCTTAACCTAATGCAATTCACTTGCCCCAAGCTCCAAGCTATAGCTTCAACTCTCTCTCTCTCTGCTCACCCAAGCTCCCCTTTCCCAGCCACCCGCCCAGCTTTATCTCCGCCTCCGCCTCCGCCTCCGCCCCAGGCGTAGACACACACATCTTCAGCCGGCCTCAACTCACATTATGTACGGATAGGTAACGGAGTAGATTCTCACCAAAGCCCGCCGAAAAGTCCGTCTCTCTGAACCTGCATGTCACTAGTATAGAGCAGCAGAGTCTCTCAGCCCATCCTTCCCCCCCTCGCACCCAGCTCTCACGCGCCGCTTCGAGGGCAGAATAAGCTGCATTATCAACCAATCCTACATCTCCAAAATCCCTCCCCTCATGCGACCAACGCTAACGCCCGCATGCTCCCACCACCACCACCATCCCGATCCTCACTTACTACTCATGGTTTGCCTCAAGCAGACGGGGGACGTCTCGCACTATTCCCGGATTTCAAAATGATCATCCCGAAAGTAGAAACTAAACCAAAGCAAAAACCCCCCATGCTGGTAGGTCAGAAAAACAAACCATGATGAAACTCTGGTCACTCACCCACTTTTCTCGCATCTCAATGGTCAATATTCAAATACCACTAACAATCCCGAGAGTCCTACTTTGCATTTGCAGTTCAGTGCCAAAAACCAAAACTACGACTCTGACCAACGGAAACAAGTCACACACGCACTCGCACTCACACATACCTCGGAAACCGGGAACGATCATGTACCCTCTCGCCCTCCACTCTCCACACCTTGCATCACCCAAGCCACAACCCCATCGGACCTTACAATGCCCATCTTATCACGTACACTCCCAACGCGAGAACCAATGGATGGCCTTATTCGCCTCTGCGTTTAGCATGATTTCCCTGTGTACGTCGTTTCGTTTCGTTTCGTTTCGTTCGTTCGTTCGTTCGTTCCCGTTGCCCATCCCTTGATCGTCCCCTCTCGCCGTCCATATCTAGGTAGTCACGCTTATATCCTTGCCCTCATTCCAAGTTTCCGGACTGGCACTATTTGGCTTGCTTTCGTAAACTTCGCCCCCCACCCCTCCCCATTTCCATTCCCTCTACGAACTCTCTCACCTTTTCTCCCCCAATAACGAGCCTTCTAGACCGAGAAGTGACCAAAAAACGGTTGATCGTCTTAGTAGAACCGTTGCTGTATGGCACGGTACCCTGCCATCGCCCCCCCCCCCTTCTCGGTAAGGAACCCACCTATTTACCCAGGAACTTACACTACCATACTAGGTACTCAGCCTCTTTCCTTGGTCCGCATTGCGTGTTGCCTAGCCAGTTTCCTCCCTCTCTCAAATATTGACCGAGAATCCCTCCCCATGCGTCAAGAGTTTCCCGCGCTCCTCGCGGATCGGATCAACCGATCAGCGACGCACGAGGGACGATGACTCCTTGCTAGTCTTTCACCTCAACCTCACTTGGGGCCGGTGGGGGCATCGAGAAGCAAGGAACCTGTGAGTGTCATCTGTCCCATGGTCGGCTACTGCGCGTCACATCATGGCAAAAGTCTAGATAGGCATGTTTTCAAGGAATGGTAAGTAAGGTAATGAAGAATCCTTGGTATCTTTTTGGAGATTTGCAAGTAGCTACATGAATAGAATGATCTCCTCCACGCCAGAGGAAAGGCGGGGGGCAAAAAACATGAAGAAGATGGGGGTCAACGGCAGGCTGTTTGACTGCTCGTTACCCGAATATCCAAATGCTCTCTCTCTCTCTCTCTCCTACTGTCTGTCCTGGTGTTTGTGCGCGTGTTTGCCGGTACTAGTGTCGGTTTATGTCGCATTAAGATGTGCAGAAAATATCAAAAGAAAAAGGCTTTCGTAGAAGTAGTGATATGGTAAAAATTTCGTTTCGGTTGATTGTCATTGATCATGAGGTTCGTTTCGACTCATTTCCGTTTCCACGTTTCGTCGCGAGACGCTTTCTCGTTTCTCGTCAACAATCTGCAACTTCGTGCGGTGCTGTCCATCTTTCCAGTCAAGGCCAAAAAAGGAAATAAAAGGAAATAAAACAAAAGGAAAATCAGACAAAAGAACAAAAGCAACATGATTCCCATCCGAACACCACCACCTCCCCCTTTCCTCAGTCTCCTGTGAGATGACGTCCCTCGTTGTGTGAGACCTGCTCTCCTCCGATAACCCAAGATTCCATGTGACCACCCCTCCATTTCCAAGCCAACCCCGTTGCCCCCATTGTACAAACGTTGGAAAAGCTTGGCCGTCCCGTGTTCCCATGCTCTTCTCCCCTGTCCCGTCCCGCCTTGCCTGGAAAGAGCAGTAGATACCAAACTAGATATGTGAAATACAGAGATATCAGACTAAATCCAGAACGCTCGCTCGCTTGCTAGATACCGGAGGGAAATGGCGTCCCAAAATGAAAATCACAAAAATAAAGCGGTTGGAAAGTAAGTATGTCCGAAGAGCTTCGATCATTTGGCGGTGAAAAGAGGATTGTTTGGTGCGTGAGCAACAATGTCTGGGGTTTTGTCCGCGGGAGCGGTAGAAGTGTATGATGAGCTTCGGCTGAAAGGAAAAAAGATGTTTGGTAGAATGATATTTTGTGCTAAGAGTTGAGATTCGTTGATGTGATCATGGGATCGTATTTTTTTTAGTCTTCGTTATTCGTTAGCGCCCGCTTTCGCGCTGTTGCTTTCGGACACCATTTTGGCAAAGTTTCTGACAACTTCGCTGGGGATCTGATCCCAAAGTAGTGATCTAGTGTAGACGTCGGCTGCGGATTGCTTGTTGGTCCGCATTGCTGAGAGGGCATCGGCAAGGTTCTTGCGTCCTTGACTGGTGGTGCGCTCGGGGGCATTGTTGAGGAAATCCTGCGAGCTGACGCCGTTGTACTGAGCAGCCGAGAGTCCAAAGAGTTGCTCGTTCGCTTGTTCATCGGTAGGCTGAGTGAGAGAGTCGCCAAGCTGGCCGAGCATCGAAGGCGCCACACCGCCCATGGAGGTGTCACCCATAGGCATGGCCGAGTTGTCGACCCACGAGCCGCCGGAAGGTTGAGGAGCGAGAGCGTTCAGGGTGTTGGATGCTCCGTTCACGCCGGCATCCTTGAACACATTCTCGAGGAGAGTGGCGGCTTCAGCGCGGACGTCCTCGGATACCCGGGGAATGGCAGGGGTAGAGCGGCTTGACAGAACAAAGGCACCAACGAGGAAGAGCATGAAGAGGATGCCGCCCTGGGAGGAAGACTTCTCGGAGTCGACAGGGAAGGAAACATCAGCCTTCTTGGCCGGAACCACCTGGAGCTCCTGCTTGACTTCCTGCTCCATGGGGTACTCGCCGAGGAAGTTGACGTTGTCCCAGCTGCCTGGCATGGTCATGCCGTCCATGTCGTCGTAGCCGGAAACATAGTTGTTGTTGGCAGGAGCGGTCATGGCGGCGCTCTCGAGACGCTGGACGTGGTCGGTAAGGACGCTGACCTTCTTCCGAAGTTCGCCCGTTTCGATCGTGTGAGAGCGGATCATCTCTTCCTTCTCCATGGTGAGTGACTCGATGTACTCCTGGTTGAACTGCTTTTCTCTCAACAGCTGCTCCATCTGTTTCCTCATGTCGGCCATTTCTTCCTCCAAGTCGGTGAGCACAGCGGTGAATTGCTTCTTCTCATCCTCAAGGCGCTCGGTGTGTTGCTTCTTTCTCTGGCGAGAGTCAAGGCTGTTGCAATGTTAGTAAGTGAGATTGAAGGAAGTGAGTGTTACACGTACGCTGCCTGGCGATTTCTCAGCAATCGCTTTTGCTGCTTGAGCTCCTTGATCTCTTGCTCATCGGTGGACTGAGCGATGAGGTGATCGATGTTGCTGAGATTGCGCTCGGCCGGGATATCGAAGCGGGCGTTCTTCTTGCGGATGCCGTCACCCCTTCTCATGTCGTTGTGTGAGCGGATGGTAGGGCTACCAGGGCGCATCTTCTTGGCCATAGATTCCGTCTGACCGATCCATCCCTTTTGCGGTGAAGTTGGAATGGACTGGTTACCTGATCCGATGGGTGCGAACATGTTGATTTGACCGGTGGGGTTGGTGAAGGGCGTCTGACCCGGGACGGGTCTTTGGAACATGGGAGCGCCATTGTCGTATTCAGCCGGCATGCCATCGAATTGCTGGAGGGGGGTGCAAGAGCCAGAGGTGTTGCTCAGGGACCATCCGTTGCCTTGAGGGGCGAAAGGGGAGGGCTGAGCATGATCCAGGCGCATGAAGGGGTTGTTGTTGTGCTGCTGCTCGATGAAGGGGTTGTTGGATGGTACGGATTGCATATCGACTGACTGCCAGTCCTCCGTCTTTGGTGAGAAAAGAGAGCCGCCAACGGCGAAGGAATCTCTTCTGCTATCAACCATAGGAGGCGACATTTCCAGGCCCGAGTCGAGTGCGCTGTGATCCAAGATGGTTTCGTCGAGGATGCTGTGGTCCTCCTCTTCGTAGTACTTTTGCGCTTGTGTTGTGTCTACAGTCAAAGGTGTCGGTCTGTAGAAGGACGGCATCTGGTACGTTGAGACCATTTCTGGTTATGTGAAATCAGCAGTCGAGTGTGGACTGCGATGTTGTGCTGTGACGGCAACGGTGCCTATTTTTCTAATCTTGCGAGGGCGTGTTAGTCGAGGGCAGCGCAGCGGTGAGGGCGGTTGGTGGCCCAGGGTTTATTTTTGGGTGTGAGTGAGATGTGGAGACTGGGTGCTGCGCACTCTGAGAATTGCAGACGAGGGTATGGAGGAATATGCGCTTGGGTTGCTGTGTATTGAGCGGGAGAGATGCATGTATTGCGCAGCGGGAACTTGCAGTCAGAGGCGAGAAACGAGCTTTTTGTGCGAGACTCGTTCAGAGGGCCAAGCAAGACGTACGCGGGTTGAGTTGAGGGCAAGAAAGTAAGGGAAAAAGCAGAGGGCGGAGGTGGTCGAGCGGGATGAGTGATAAGAGAGGTTGGTGGGGATGGGATGAGAGGATGTGCGGGCGGAGGGTGGTCGGAAAGTTTTAAAGGGCAGTGCGTGCAGGACGAGGAGGTAGAACAACGGCTCTGTAGGGAAGAAACACACTCACAGGCTTTCAGGGATCGGTTATTCTTTTTGTTCGAGTGATACGGTGCTGCGATGCACTCCAGATCTTGTGGCGAGGTAAAGAGTAGTTGGTCTGGTTAGACACACAGAGCGGGGGGAAAGCCTTGAGTATGTGTGTGTGAGTCGAGTCGATGAAGCGGCGTAGATGGGCTGCGTCGAGAGTAAGACGACGTGCGGAAGAGGGACGATGGGACAATAATAAACAAATGTGTGTTGCAACGATAGGGAAACCGTCTGGAGGATGGGGTGCCGGAAAGTATGTATATGTATGTAGGTATGTACGGTTGACGCTGGATGGGCGAGCGAGTGCGGATAGTGTCTGTATGAATGTGTGCGTGTGAGTACGCAGTATGGTGTCTGTGTGGTGTGTGATCTCGTTTTCTTGGTGGGCGGGCAAGGTAGAGCTGGAGGAGGAAGAGGGAAGGTTTTGTATTTTCAACAGCAAAGGCGGCACTTCTGCGCGACTCCCGGGATGAGGTACCTGGTCAGAAACGGTGGCCGGGGGTGAGGTACTTTGCTTGGCTTCGAGAAGGATACGGTGGACATGGGCGGGGAGGAAGGAGGAGAGTCGCAGTAAGGCAATGTAAGGTCGCGGGTAGTGTGGAAGGTCAGGCTGGCCCCGGGTCCAGATCCCAGTCCAGGGTTAGAAGGGCAGTGGGGGAAAAGAACAAGAGACTGAGGGAATCGGGATTTCACCTCAGGCTGATTACGGAGTACCTACCTATGGGAGCTTACGGAGGAGGAGGGTCACCATGGTACGGTACGGTAAGGTACGGACGGTACTGACGGCGCGAGAACAGAGAGGACGGGAGGGAAACGAGACGGAGACAGCAGAGTGGAGCTGTAGAGGCAGAAGATGGAAGGAAGCACTCGTAGAGTCTGCGGATACCTTGGACTACGGCAGGAAAGAGCAGCCCGTTGCGGGTGGGATGCGATGCGCATTGGTGGGTGTGTGGTCACTTGTTTGTGGAGGGTGGCCGAGGATATGGACGGGGTGGGTGTGTGGTAAACGGGCCCAGTCAGCAAGAGAGACGGGAACCAGGCAAGTTTTCTGGCGAGCGGGAGCGGCCATACTCTTCGGCGATTATAGGACGAGCAAGATAGAGAGTGAGCCGAGGGGAAGACACACAGAGAGAGAAAGAGAGAGAGAGCGAGATCATGATGCCAAGGCGAGATAAATCCTCTTGTCCCTGTCCCTTTCAGGCAAGATACTTTCGGGACTTCACGGTGAATACCTGCTAGCCCATATTCGTCTTGTAACTCTGTGTGCGGCAATAGTAAGCCTTCTCGCCTTGGCTTGTCAAAATTACTCGGAAATTCATCCGTAGCCAGTGTCTTTTCACGATGTCTTGCGGCGATGATTTGACCCAAAATCTGGCGAAACCAAGAGAGCCCTGAGAACGGCAAACGGAAGATCACCTAGGCAATGCGACAGACATACGGCGCCGTACAATGCTTCCTTGGAGCAAGACACAGACGAGACATGGGGCGCGGGCAGAGTAAAGGAGCATTGAGCAGGGGTTCCGTTTGGCTTTAGACCGCCTCGAACTCTCCTTCTCACCTCACGGACTCTATCAAACTTGATAGACTTGCTTGCCAGCGTCTCTTGCCTTCTCTTGGTACCCAAGGCTCAAGAGATGGAAGGCAACAAGCTAGATGGGCTAAGGTACTATTCGGCGTACTAAACTAGGGGCAATGTACCTGGAGGCCGAGAGTGACTGATTTAGAAGACCTAAGGCTTGCGGATTGCAAAAGACTCTGGGGATTGATAGGAACGCGGCGCGCGCTCAGGGCGGGCAGCAAAGGGCAAGGTACTAGCCAATGCAGAGAGGAGAAGGTCACGGAATTCAAGTTGAAAGGTGGAGGATTGCTCAGAGCCAAAGCGAAACCCAACCCCACGTCCAGCCGATGCGCTCCGACTGGATTCTCTGTGCGCTCTCTCGGCCCAGTGGCTGACTGACTTGGGGGGGGGGGGGGGGGCGCAACTTGGGAAGAGTGGCCGGGTATGCGTCTGGCAGTGTAGGTAGGACCACTGGGGAACGACAGCGTCCGGCCGGCGAATGAGGTCAGAGGTGAGCAGGATGACAAGAGATTCAGAGTTCTGGGCCTTTTTGGTCGTGACCTCGATGCGCCGGGTCTGGGTGGACGGGGATCTTGCCGGAAGACAGGCGAGCGGCGGGCGGGTCTTGTCAAGGGAGGAGGAGACGACAACGAGAGGCCCGGTGGAGGGGTTTACGGCTCGGCCGCAAGCCGGAACCGCCCAATAAAAGGCAGAAAAAAAATAAGAATTTAATTTTTTCTAAAAAAGAACCAGACGGATGGGAGGGAATTGAGGGAAGAGAAACTTGATGAGCGAAAATGGAATGGCGGTCACGGTTCACAGACGGTGGGGGTTGGGCTTGCAGGCCGGGCCATTGTCCGTTCGGCAAATCATTGTTCAGTGGCTGAAGAAGCACCGAAGGAAGCAGGGAAGGTGGCGTGGGACGGCAGTGGACGGAGGGCTAAAGCCTGAACGGAACGATACGGAATACGATACGATGGCCGTTGGACGGGGGGACGGGTGGGACACCGTTATGCCCGAGACGTCGTTGAGGGGAGACGGTCAACGTGGGGAGGTGAGTGGACTCTTTCCACGTCTTACTCTCTTCCCAGGCACTACGGCACCACAGTTCCTACCCTCACTTCACGCTTTAGCAAATGGCACCACGGCCAAGGATGACGTACCTTCGTACCTTGATGGGCGAAGCCATGGTGATGACCAAAAACGGAAGGAAAGATACAAAGTAAAGAGGTGAGATGAGTCCTCTGAATGGTGAGCACACGGTACACCCCAAGCAACCCTTGCGAATAACATGACGGCCCTGGCGGTTCTCGCTCCTTGCCTCCCTCATCCACTGGTTCAGACTGGACGAGAGCGGACTCGCGGAGAGGGCAGCTCCAACAGGTTGGGCATCGACGGCCGCTGTCTCTCGCGCGATAGGCTCACTCACTCTCATGTTATTGATACCCAAAGAGCCCAAGAATAGGTAACCCCCAAACTTAACCCCCGAGACGTGACCTATGAAGCCCGTTGCAGCCCTCCTGCATCCACTAGCAAGCCACTGTTTCTCGTCTCCGGGTTCCTATTGCTCGACTCTCAGTGGGGTGATCACACGGGTCTGGACACTGGCTACGAGGCAAAGGCGGTACACCGAGGGGATTCACTGTGAAGCGTGGATGGAAATGGAAACCCTTCCTCCCGTTCCGTATCAGATCCCATGGAGATGATGCTATCAACTGTCATGTTCAGCTCTCTCCGGTAGCGCAGTCACTCCAGTGGCATTGCAGCCAAATCAGATAACGAGGCAAACCATGACAAGGCGAAGCACAACCTAATCGAAAGGAGCCACACTGAGCCAGGCAATCTGACCTAATCTAATATTGGCGACGATATCAGTACATACCTTTGGGCTCAGAGATAGAGCATGACGAGTCCCCATTCAGAGTCGTATCGTCCAATATGCCCCAGATCATCTGGTCCGGGTCGCGACTCACCTGTTCAAGCCTCAACCACCAAAAAATGACACGAGAGATCCAGCAGGAAGACAATAGTGCCCCTCGATCCGATCGATCACTCTGCCATCCTTGGCCGAAATGCCGTAGCCGTAGAATTACTTTTCCTCTCTTGTTCCTAACTAACTTCCTTGTCTTGACTAGAATGCCCCATTTTGTTCTCCCGGTCCCGCGAGACACAATGCGCAATTGGCCAACCTCGTATGTTGTGAAGTCGGGATGATGCTCGTACCCTCAGACGAAATTCTCAGCCACATCCCTGGAATACGGAAAGCCACCCATCGCCTATATTTCGGACGCATCGACCGACGGACAAAAGTCAATTCTGACATCGGGAGGCACACATGCGCAGAGAGGCATACGGATAGAGGGGCAAGTTGACACAACCAGGACAAAGGAGCAGGGGACCAAAAAGTCGGTGGCTGGGAAAACAACATCCGGGAAACCTCTCCAACGCCAGCCGGTGATGCCCAAGCAATAACGTCCAACACCGGCCAGCCACTCAGCCTGAAGAGACGCGTGAGCCACCAGCTCCACTGTGCTTCATGGCCGCATACACAGCGGCCCATCACCAACTTGAAGACCCTCATCCTGCTTTGTCAGTGTGCCACGGTGCTCGTTTCGGGCCTCGTGCCCAGAGCAGGTATGAATGGAACGAGGAGGTAGCCAAGGTGAGGAAGGTACCTCGAGGCCCGCTCTACCATATTGGAGGAACAAAAGTCAATAAGGTACGTCTTCCCTCCCTCGTTACTTGTGAGGTGTACCGGAGGAGGAAGTGGTCTGGAGTGGACGAGGCCATTGTGTGTACGCAGTATGTGTTTGCTCCCCAATCCCCCGCCGGTGATGCATCACACGCGTTTCGCGTCCTGAAGCGCGCCAGACGACCGGATCAAGACCAGCGAGGTGCTCAAGGAGTCGCGACGTCACGGAGATGCATCGGCGACGTGAATCATGCGCGACTCCACTGATGGACCCCGGGGGACCACAATCTGGTGAATCTGCAAAGGCGAGATGCTGCACTCCCACATCCTCGCATTGAATCCGTGTGGTGTAGCGGATGGAGGTGTGCTTGCTCTCTTTCCTCTTCCTACTTTACCGGCCTTACCTAATGTACGGATACCTAGATAGGTATTTACCCAGGTCGGCTGAGCTAAAAAATTCCTCCGTAGCTGCGTTTCTCACCCCAACCCGGCAAGTGGATCCCCTGCCGGCGTTGTCGTCGTCGTCGTCTTCTCCTCACCTTCTGGAAAAACTCGGCCACCGCGAAAGCCGGAAGGAAGGAACCTGGCACGCCGCACGCCGCACGCCTGGAAAGAATGGAAGGTGGGAAATGGTCGGGTGGGCACCTGGTGACAATGGGAAACGCGATGGCGCCGTTTGAAAAGTGGAACACACACTTAGACGACCCGTTAATGGACCGACGCCGTCCCCGTCATGAACCAATCGTCCAAGTGAGGCGAGCGAATTCTGCTACCAAGACACGAACGAGACTTGCGACATGCACTGTTCACTCTCGATTGCTGTGAATCTCCAAGTCCACTCTACTGCGTACATACCTCACCATCCAAAACTTGAACGGCCCTGGGCCAGATCGGTCCCCTATTGTCAGGTCAGCTCGGCTCTATGTCAGTGGTCACTGGGAGAGAAACCCCTCGATGAGAACATCACCCACACACAGCCGCGGATACCTGACCATGCCTCCGCCGTGCCTGAGGTACCTCGACTCTAGTCAACCCAAGTCCACGCCGAGGTCAGCGACCATGGGAATTGGAGCCGAGCGCCGACTTCTCATACGCCGTCTCCCCTCGTTACCTCTCACGCGTTCCTGACGACGGAGCCCAACCTATGGCCTAGACCTGGCCAACTTCGGCCGACGACCCCTTCATCGTCTGAACGACTCCAGGTATACGACTTACAGCTTCAGACCGCCAAACCCGCCATTGGATGCGCTGCGAACAGTGTGCGACACTCCTCTCTTCGACGGCATCTCATCCCAATACGCCCAATGCCCGCATCGCGCCTGTCACTTTCGACTCGGATTGTCCACACGGAAAGCTCCCCTGTCTCTTCAACAATGATCGCGTTGCCTCATCGTACTTCTCATGCGCCTTGCATGAACAAGAGTCTCACTTAGTCGTCATGTTGTTCCCCGGCCACGACCACGGCCCTTCATTTCCCAGAATGCCCACCGCCTCGCCCTTCTCTCCTGCCAAGTTCTTATTCTTGGAAGCCGGCGCGGCTGACATCGGAATCGTACCCAAACGTATGTTGTTGCCCGACCCGGCCTATCGGATCGAGATCACTTGCTCCTCTACCCTGGAACTCAGAAGAGCCTCTTTCATCGTATCCCTTTTCTTGGGATCTCAAAGGATGCTTCGTCAGGCAAGGGAGTCGTCTATCGGCAAGCGCGGTCATCTCCATGTCGTTTGCCCTTTACCCAAGTAGCTGCGCAAGGCTTCGTCTGGTGATTGTGGCTTGCAAGTGAAGCCATGTGGGCCAGCCACCATTGACTAGGCTTTCAGCAAACATCCTGCAAAGTTCGACCGCAGCCGATGTCCAATGACATTAGGAACTTTTTTTTTTTTTTACCGAGAAACTTGATTCAATTTTGTACCAGGTCTACGGCTGCCGACGAGAAGCAATATCTCATACAGCCACTCTTGGGACGGTTTCCTGACAGGGCTGACCCCAGCGGAGCATCTACGCTTCAGAGCACCCCTGTTCCCTGGATTTCTGGCTTAGATCCAAGACTGCCTCTCCGAATTAGCATCCCGGTGAGGATCCCCGGTCTCACTTCGCATTGAGAGCAATGGGTTCCCAGTTCAACATAGCGGCCAGTGTCGCGGACTAGCAAAGCAATGACCAAAAACCTACGCGTCCCCTTCGATGATCGAAGAGCGCGGAGCGACTATTCGCCCTTCTCGCGAAATCTCTTCAATTTGAGTCATAGACAATCCATCTCTGCCACCAGCTTTATTTCGTGTCGGTGAGCCCCAACCGGCAGCTTAAGCTTCTCATCCCCGGGATCCACTCCGGAGCTACCGTCAGAGTTTCTCCCTTGCCCTTCCAGCTTCAAAGTCGGAGATTGAGCATTAAGCGATGGATCCGACCCCCGTCGCTTGCCATGATGCGATGCCGCGATCCACAGCTTCCGTTTCACTCTTCCGACGTCATTCCAGAGTCCTGGGCCGTCGGCTGTCTTTCATCCTCGCTGTTTCTTTCGTCCTGCGCCAGAAGAAAATTCGCCAGAGTTGATGCGCACGGTACTGCCCTATACCAGAAGCTTTGATAGAGCTGTATCCTGGCATTTCAACCTCCGGAGCTTGGATCATTCGGTTCCAGATTCCCTTTCATGCACACGCCCAGGGTTCCCGCCGTGTTGCAAACAAGTGATTTGAGACTGGTGGATTCGAATGAGCTGCCGGAATCTCTCCCCGTCCACAAATTCGGGACGCCTCCATGGCGGTGAACAGAGGCCGTGCAGGCCACCATCCCGCGTACGGCTATCATCCCGCTTTGTATATGGAAATCATCAGAAGGAAAATCTTTGTCTCCAGAGCAATGACTCTTTGGAAATGAAAACTCTGCGCTCTGGGCGCCAGACGCAGTCAGAAGGTCATCCTATTAGTTGTCACGATGTTCTTGGAGAAAGGGTCCCGCAGCAGGAACGCCTATCGCACTCCTTCAACCACCTCACTTTGTCACTTCTCAACTAACCTCCACACGCAAGCGGAAAGTTTATGGCGCATCGCAGAAACCCGCAGCGCGTGCGTTATCGAAGTGGCCCCCAAACGGATCCAAGCGATCAAGATCCTGTGCTGCGACAGGCCGAACCATTCACTGGCACCTTGGACCCTCCTTCAGTTATACGATCGTCAAGACTCTCCGTCTGTCCGTTGCAGAGTCGGTCGCAAGACCCCGTCAACGTAATTTTTGGCCTATTGTCCATCACTTAGCAAAACCCAGGTTCCCCCAACTTTGCGTACTGGTCTGCTTGCTTGTGTGCGCGATACAGGGAACTGGGATCTCGTCTTAGGGTTCAAGTCTGGATGAGTGACAAAGAGCCAAACCGGTAGTAGAGTTGCAACAAACTCTCAACTTCGGTTGACTTTGCCCAGCCACTTCCATCGTCTTCCTATTCTCCCCCAGCCCCGAAGCTCCTGTTGGTTCTGCTGAAGCTCAAGATGTTGACTCATCGCTCCCTGCCCGAAGGGTTGGGCATGGTTGCTTCTTTCGTCCCACTTTTTTTCGTCCAGTCGTGCCTGGCAGACGCCTCCATCCCAGGTTGGCGGTGAAGCGTCCCCTTCCCGCTCCTTTTCGCTTCCTGCATATCCGGATTCGGACCCCTTGCTTGTACCGCCGCCGGGGGTGGGAGTTGATTGACATTTGGGACATTCAAAGACTAAAAACAGAATTGGTTTATTTCACACTACTTTGGGGGAGTTTCGCTGGCTCTTGGGGGGAGCCACTCATCTGTACGTTTGACGGATATTCTGAAACGGAGCTACAGGATGCCTGTTGCATACACGCAAGCTTGCGCCGCACGCCGCACACCGCGGGTAACTAGGGTTCTGGACTGTTGTTCCCTTTGATTCACTGTGTGATATCTCTGAGCTGCAGAGACACGGGATAATCTCCACTAGTTCAGTCATACGACTGAGACTTCTTGGACAGTCACGGGCAACGATTTGTTCCCTCTGCCTTTCTCTCGGTTCATCGGGTGAGGCGGTCGATGGGGTCATCTAAAATTAAAGGGATACGGAAGTTCGGTGCTTGGCGGCGGCGGTGACAGCCGTGAATACGTAGATGCTGAGTTGTCTACCTACGATGACTCTTTCGAACTTGAGAGAAGGGAATCGAGAAGGTTTGAGAATGTATACGGAAGTATTCAGTATTACTCTTGCGTCTAGTAGGCTGGTGTTGGTCAACTTGCAGTGTCGGTGCCGCGCGGGATGTGAATACCAAGAAAAATTACGATGATTCCAAATGGCGCCCATTGACGGTCGGGGGATGAGTCAATAATATCACGGGGGAAGCTAGTAAGCCCAGTATATCCCGGACTTTGCCTGAACAATGACGAAATTTCCCGTCGGGGTCATGGAAAGTTGGAAACACGCGTCCTTGAAGTGAACTAGAAGGAGCGGGAGAAGGTTCGAAAGCACAGCAGGTGCCAGTATCGGGTCGGCGCGCTCGAAGTGAAGAGAGCTCTGTGCGTTGTGGTTTGGCTGGACCCCCGGTTGATTGAAATGCCGTGTTAAGTATTTTAATTCGAAACTCTGGGCTTTTGTTTGGGTTTCTGGGGGAAGGGGGTTAACGCACATGGCGAGGTTTTGTGTCATTGTGTCAGGATTTTCTATTATATCATGGGGGAGCTTGTTGGAGAATTAGATGGGTTTGTATAACTCCTTGATTCCGTGGTCTGTGTGGGAGATCTATTTAGTATTTCTCTCTGCTTAAGCTAGAGACACTGAGCTCGGTTGTGAACCTTGACAGCTAGAGAAGTCTCTGTTTCCTCCCGCAGCTATAGAATTGCATGGTCGTCCATAGAATGTAAGGAATCTGAATATGAGTCATCGCGTTCAACTTGGCTGCTGTTGGGGGTGTTGTGGTACTACTCTGTTGCCAAAATTTTGAAAGCATCCTCTATGCTGATGCAAGAATAGCCTATGTCAAAGCTATCTAGGTTTCCCTCGTTCTCGAGAGTTTTGTGTACCCGGATGCCGTATAATAGAATTCAGTTTGTGTAAGCTTGTCGTCTGTGCGTGGGGGAGATCAGACGTCCGGAGCTCTATATATATGTCGTCCGAACTTGAGACTTTTCCATCACATAAACTCTCTAGAGATGACATGGAACGTATCGTTGACGAGGACCGTGTATCTGGGCGGAATCCGGATCCGGAACCGAGATGAGAAAGAGTGGTTAGCTTTCCGGTATGTTCTCAGTCAGCTGAACTATATGCCAAGTTGGGACTTTGGCTCGAGTCTATGTAGATATGGCGGGATAACCCTGATGGGAATAGATATCAGCACCAGCTCTTTTGTTCGTAGCACTGCATCATTGAGAGACGGATGGTATTGTCTCACTAGTGATATGTTTCCTGCAATCTTCATTGTGATAGTCCGAATAATATGTCGAAGCCAGGGTATCTATCTGTATCAGAGCAAGGCTCAAATATCATTCAACTCTCTTCTTCTTGTTTACTCCAGCTTATCCCGAGGCTCAGAAGGGAGGTAACATTGAAGGTAGAAGTCTTCAAATAAGGTACAAAGATGGACGATCGGGTGAGAAGACCAGCTCAGGTTCAGAATGGACTTGTACGATCGGTTTGAGCTTTGGACAGCTTTGCCATCTGACAACTACTTTCAACACATTCTTTGCAAGATGTATATCCTTAAGGGGGAAAGAGAATTTTCCCACAAACGCTTCTCCGTCCCGAGATATCCTGATGATGGAGAGGAAGAGGCTCGACTGGTACTTACTGAGATGACCGGGTAAACCGTCGTGAAAACGGTTTCGCCGTCTGATGTTGATATTTAGGTTCCGTCATGTCCGGTCCATTTAAACTGGTCTTTCTTTCCCGCAGGTGACGGACAGACGTCTGACCGTCTCGTAGAATATGCGCTGTGAGGAAATTTGACCATTATGTAGGAAGTAGGATTATCTGTAAGCTTTAGTCTTGCTGAAGAGATATCGGATTGAAGCAAATGGACATGTAAGCTTGTGAGCTCTCTCGGCTTTGGCTCTCGAGCACGATGGAGAGAAAATGTCAAGCAACCTACGCTAGGCTTCTTCAATATCGTCATCGAGCTCCTTCTGCTTTCTATTTTCGAAGAGCCTCACACGATAGGCCCGCGAGTAGACGTACATGGATCATTCAGTCTTCCGAATGGGCCAGACTGAAAAGACTCAACTAGCTGCAGGTTCAATCTCCAAAAGTTACATCTCTAGTTGGTAGTCTACCGCTCACACAGCGTCAAGTTATGTCTCAATCGCTTTTGCTCCCGGTCTTTCAAATGAGGGGAAACCCCAGACATAAGTAAAACGGAAGTCGTGGCGGATTCCGCAGGTAATGCCAACGTGAACCGCGTTTTGAAGTCCTAACGTGGAGGGATGGGGCTTCAAGGTGGTCCGGATGCATCAATATCCCGGCTGTCTCTGCATCGGAGTTCAAACAGATTAGGGAAGTCTTGGGTTTGATGAGTAGACGCCTCGCGAAGAGCAGGCATACTCTGGTTGTCGCATTTCTCATATATAATCATTGGGATCTATGCGGAGGCCGACGGACGAACAGGAACTCCTTCGTCGGGCGTGGGGGAGATTTCAGTAATACGTGGGACGACTCTCGATGAGCCGGTATACTTACCGTTAGCATTCATTCTTGGATTTTCCTTTGCAATGTGAGAGTTCAACAGACCCCGGAAGACAGATCCATCACTCCGCGGAGGCTCAAGGAGTTAGCAGTGTGATGTGCATGAGCGAGTTGCAGTCATCCCAAGGCTTTCGCATATATCTAGATGTTTCACGGAAGGTCGAAAAGGAGATCAAATAGCTGGCCATCCAAACGTCACTCAGTCAGTCAAGCTCAATGGAGCAAAGCAGGCAAGCATCGTTCTGTCAAGTCAACTGTGATTTATTTCTGGAATCGTCGTCTACCAACAATCCCACTTCCCTCCCCCATGGCCGTTCCCATGTGAGACGATTTGGCCGCCTCTCTCACGGGGCGTCTCAAGACCTTGCCTGGCCTCATAGCAAATCCGAAAACTCCAACATACAGCCCGTTTCTTTCTCTTTTCTCCCCGGGACTGCTGCAAATGCAATGCGTGCGTGCGTGTGTGAATAATGCGTTTCCTTATTGTTGTCGTGCTTGCCTCTGGGGCCCCATTTGCTTCTTTTCCAGCCTTGACGAGCAAAGGTTCCGGTGGTAAGAGCGTCGACTACCCCCTACCAGGTGAGTCCAAAAAGTTCCAAAAGACTCAAGCTTTCCAGAACTCAGGAATAGCCGCAAGGCACAGTGAAGCCGGCCATCATCTGTGGGAATTCGATGCCTCTAGCTGCCGTGCCTGGCAAGTCTCCAAAAGAAGTCTCTCAAACGCCGGCAAGTTGCATCAGGCGCTCGCCAGCGCGGAGGTTGGCATACTCGTAAGCCTTGGACTCGGGTGGGAAGGTGCCGTTGGCGGCCCAAAGGTCGATCAGCGGCTGCATGGGCTCGAGCTCATGGGGCTTGAGCATGTCGAGAGCGGTGGCGGTCAGGATGAAGTGGCTGAAGCAGCTGTTGAGGGACTTCTCCAGGTTGAGGTGATAGAAAGGCTCGGTGAAGTGAGCCCAGTAGAGGTGAGAGTAGACGCGGAACATCTGGCGGAAGATGGTTTGGCAGACGTCGATGAAATTCTGCGGGAAACCTGATCGCTTGCCGATCCAGTCGGGCTCACCAGGGTTTGTGAGCTGTGAGAGGGGCGTGGTGGTGATGTTTGCGTTGTGCGCATACGAGACGCCCGAGGGGTCGGTCGGGAAGATGTTGGTGTCGTCAATCTTGCCTGAGATCCATCTCTGCATAAGAGTCATGTATTCGGCGGCAGGAAGCTCGACAGGCTCCCGACGGCTGTTAAGCCAAGTGAATGAGTGGTTCCTGAGAATAATTAGATTGTGACAGGAAGAAGTGTCGGCGAAACTTACGCTCCGGCGGACATCCTGGGGCACGTAGTGCCATTGCAAATTGTCGAGCCATCTTCCTCCTTCTCGTGGAGAACACGGACGAAGTTCCAGAGGTTGCGGTAATGCTCAACCACTTCGAAATATTAGCAACCAGAGATGTAGGAGTAAGAGTGACTACGTACCTTGATGCGCGATCCACTCGCCCTGTTCGACCGTCTTGGGTCTCGCACTCAGAGTCATAAAGTTGCCCTTGACGATATGCTTGCCATAGTTGGAGTTCAGCCAGATGGGCATAGGCCGTGGCAGATGGTAGGAGCCGAGAAGGCCGTCGCCGTCGGACAAGCCACCCTGGTCGTCCATGCCAATAGAGTGGGCGAGCGAAGGAGAGTTGGGCAGAGGCGGGACTTTAGGAGCCAAGTTGGTGGATGACTGGCTTCCCTGAGAAACGGTCGGTGACGTAGGCTGACCGGCGGTTGAGGACGTTGGAGACTTGTTCGAGCCTGGCGGTTTGGCGGCTTGGCCCCGGAAGCGGGCGTTGCTATTCATCGGAGTCTGATTAGTCGATGGTATCTCACGACTGATATGAGCACCGTAAAGCATAGAAAAATGTCCAGCAGAATGATGAAGCCAACCACCAGGCCAGGCACCCGAGGGAACCAGGCCATAAGGGTTTGCACCAGCCATGTTGTTTCCTGCTGAGTGAGACACAGCATCAGGGACTTCTGAGGGCTTCTTCTGGTAATGGAAGGGATGTCTGTCTGAGACCTGTGCCAACTAGGCCACAAGGCACAACTGATGTTCTGAGAGTGTGTTTTGATAGTGTTTTTGTTTGGCGAGTGTTTGCTTGATGAGATTGTTCGGAAGGAAAAGAGTTCAGGTTTGTTTCTTCTTCTGGAAGTGTCGTGGCTCCTGGCAAGTAGGCCCATATTGCCCCGCCCGAATGGCAACCATGATGTTCTGCCCTTGAGGGCCCGTTGCCGATGGAAATGGCTATATCAGACAGGCGCCAGGCTGAACATGTGCGTGAGACCCGGTCTAAGAAAGACGACGATCCGGGGATGGTGGAGTAGTGAAGGACCCAGATGTATCTTGCGGTGACTTCTTTGTCGTAGAGGGGATGAAGTAACGAGAGGCTTCCATCCTGCTCCAAGGAGCAATCGATTCTCTTCCTTTTCGAGATCCCTTCAGGACTCCCTCAAACAAAACATGCGGATGTTGATAAGCTTCAAGCTCAGCTCAGCTTACTTGACTGTTGAGCAAATGACTTCCGCACGGCAGCAAAGTCGGCAGAAAATCATGACCTTCCAGTTGTCGACGAGACCTCATGGCTTTGGCCTCGTTGGTCCTCATTGCATGCATGCTGTGTTTGCTGGCCCAATGCTGGCGGTTTCGAATATGACTGGGTCCTTGTTGCCACCTGTCTCTCTTTTCCTTTCGAAGTTGAAGGTGCATTCTGTAGCCGAACTGAAAGATTGGCAAAGGGCGGTGCTGTAGCCAAAGGCAACCTGAGCACCCAGTCCCCGCTGGTGCCTCACATATTCCTGTGACGAATGATTCCAAGCCTGACATCTAGCCCATGGCAGTAATGTCAAATACAGCCGAGGTGGGAGATCCGATGGCCCCTCCTCATCAAAGGACAAGTAGCCATCAGAAGTTCCCCAACCGTGCTGCTTGACTCCCCAGGACTGGTTCGCCACTTGATATTGGATGTTTTGGCAATGCCTTCATGTGTGATAATGCACCCCATGTCTCGGCGGGTGGTGGCCGGGCCGTGTTGCATGTACCAAAGTACGGGCTGCCGCGGCACTAGCCGAGGAACCAAACTTCACAGCTGTCTGCTGTGCAGCCACCGTAGATCGCCCGCTGGGTCCTCGTTCTTTCCATCATACAGAGAACAGTGGGGGTAAGGGAGGAGCAGAAGAAGCAATTCGCAAACTGGGAAAGCACAAGAATAGACAATGAAAGGCAACTCACATTCCTGAAAAGAGGTTCGACATGGTAGGAGGAGGTACCGCGGTGAGGGGGAATCGGAGGGGGTTATAAAGTTGGGTCGACCGGCGCACCTCCTGGGAAGACTTAAGAGGCTGGGACTATCGAGTTTCAGCTCTACTGATTCGAGTTCAGTCCGTTTGATAATCGAAAATGATCGGATATCGAGCAAGGAGAGAGGGTTAAGCTGAAAAGGGGCGATTGAAGGTGAGCTTCTTCAGACTACGTTCGCTCCTGCATCCACGAGGAGTAGCGGCATAAGAAGCGCTAGACTTGAAGTGTCACATTAAGCGAGTGCACAGGCCCGATCCCCACAGCAATTGGGTCCGAATGGTCTCGCTCCATCGCCATTGGGCTCACGCTAGAGGCGAGGAAGGGACGTTTCTCAGCCTCGTGTGGCGCACAAGAGGTTGGGGAGGTGAGCACTGGGCAAGCAGTTGCACAACTTGTGCTCTGTAATTTCCTCAATAATAAGGAGAAAGAAGACGAGTTGTCGATGCTACAAATTACCTCCACTGAGTTCCCTGAACAAGATCCACTGTAGCTGGGACATGTGCCGAAATCCCCGCTCGGCAGTTTTACACGTACGAAGTGGCTTCAAGCACGTGTGGCGGTGCTTCAGCCTCACTCAGTCTTGGACTAACCTCCAGGTGGGTCAGAATTTGGACAGGGATCTTTCAAGCCTCACGCTGCATCTTCTTCCGCGCGCAAGAGGAAAGAAGCTAGGTCACCTACCTTTCTGTCAACCACACACGCTCAATTGACCGCCAATTTTCCAATACCAAACACGCTGCATCGCTTATCACACGAACCAACGTCATCATGTCGGATTCCGAAGAATTGAACGAGCTTCCCGAGGATGAGGAGGAGGAGGATCTCTTCGGCGACGAGCCAGCAGATGATCTTCAGGAAGACAGAAGTCGCGCTGGTAGCGTACGCGACGACGCATCCGACCGTGATGAGGGCGATGGCTACGGTAGAGATGACGAGGCCCCTTTGCCAACCGACTATGAGACGAAGGTCATAGAGGCCGTTGAGATGCAGCGTCATCGCACTCCCAAGTCAAAAGATCAGAGAGTAAGCCGATGGAAAGTTTGATGCACCTGACGTGTCCTGACAATGGCCAGTTACGATCTCTGCGCGTCCCCAAGTTCATGAAGATCATTCCAACGATTTACGATCCCGAGACTTTCGAGCCTACCGAACACGATATTGAGAACGCCAAAGCCGACGTACCCAAGGCCGACATTCGGGTTCGGCGACAAGGAAACAAGCTGCAGAGCAACACCATGATTCACAGATGGAGCGACGGTTCTGTGACTATGACAGTCGGAGACGAGCATTTTGAAGTCTCTACAAAGGCATTGGCTCCTGGACCTAACGAGCCATACTCTGAGCTTCAAGATGGTCACTACTATGCTGCTGCGGCGGAGTTGACCAGCAACTTCCTCATGTTCGTTGGACATGTCACCGACCAGTACATTGTACGGCCCGGAAAGGAAGTGGCTGATGATGCGCTCGCTGCACTCGCCGAGCGCATGGCGTCGATATCGCAAAAGCCTCAGGAGAAGGACATGATCATCAACACCATTCAGGATCCCGAGCTGCGCAAGAGGCAAGCGGAGCAGGCAGAGAAAGAGCGCATGAAGATGCAAAGACGTCGCGAGACTCAGACCGCACGCATGGATGCAACCCGCGGCGGATATGGTCGCAGTGGAGGTCTCTCCATTGGCGAACTTGAGGGTGGACGACGTGGCGGTGGTTCGCGCAAGAGAGGCATGCCTGGCGCGCCGAAGCAAAAGAGAAGACGTCCTGAGTATGATTCTGACGATGATCTGCCTTCTGGCGCCCGCAGAGGAGACGAATACGACATGGAGGACGACTTCATTGTGGCTAGTGACGACGAGGTCAGCGAGGTTGAACATGACGATGACGATGAGGAGCTCCTCGACGAGGCACCACGATCCAAGAAGCGCCGGGTTTCGGATGACGAAGACGCTGATGGAGATGATGATGACAACATGGAGCCAAGTGGCAGAGGAAGGCGCCGTCACGTTGTCGACGACGACGATTCGGAGTGAGGTTTTTGACCACGACAAGACATGCTTGACTGCAGACTCAGGCTGGTCGGAGAGGATCAAAGTTTGTACTATACCACAGCATTTTCTCATGCAAGCTGCACACCGAGGGCGGCGATTACAATGATTACATCCAAATTCATTTTTGCCATGCGGAAGAGGACCCTTTTCAATTCGTCACGGTATACTGAATGAAACTGATGGGTATATGAGAGTTGCTTCGTGACAGTTATCCTTCGGGTCTTGGCTGTACTGAGACTGGCGCGAACAAGCGGCACAACACGTGCGGCGTTTGACCTAACTCTTTGTCATGGCTCTCAGACCAGACCGTTGGTAGCCAATTTGACTTTGTTGGGAGCTGAGCAAGTGGCACATCCATCACCTCTTGTAGCTCAATGATTTAGCGGACTCTAAAGCCTGCAACCTGCAACGTGCTCTGATACGAAAACATTTCTCGAAGATGAACATTTATCTGGGTACTCGCCCGAAATACGAGCAGGCCGGATGACGTGAAAGAGCCGTGGAGCATGCCCAGCTCCCTTGCACTGCCAAATTGCAAGCCATTATCACATGTCGAAGCTTTCCGCCAGGGATGGGGCACTGGGGCATTGGGGCGGCACACACAGCCAAGGAGCTGACGGAGCTTGCTCACCCACCCCCAACTTTACAGCAGCTTGGGAAGCAGCGGCAGCGCAGGTGTGTGGGGTACCTTTGGGGTCTCGTGCTCAACATGAACCATGACAGTATCCCACAGTTACACTGGCACGACTGGGCAAATGCAGCAACCACTCACTGCGGAGGGTATAATCCTGGGGTGAAGAGGGGAAGGGAAGCTGCTGCAGCCTGCCCCAGATCATCCGGCAGCATCAAAGGGAAACATTGCGAATGGAAGCTGCCATGGGAAATCGACGGCAGATCCGGACCCTGCTCCCTAGGTACCTTGTGCTCTATGCGGCAGGCCGCATACATCATAAAGGTAATGCCCGTAACCCTTTTATTGCCGTGGGCCGAGCCAAATCACAGACAACCTGTGACCTACCTGCCTACCTGTCTTACCTGTCCGCACCGAAACCTCGCAGCTGTCTGTCTGTCGTCGGTACCGAGTCGAGTCAACAAGTACCTTTCCTTCTCCGATTTGGCATAGGACGGACACACAGGCTTCGAGTCAACTCATCGTCCCTCCTCTCCCGCAGCCGCAGGACTGCTCGAAGACACGATTCTACCTTACTCTCGCATCCCTCTCCCTCTCCATCTTAGCGTCCACCATCCGATTGCCCGCTCGTTCGTTCGACCGCACGCGCGCTTGTTCTTTTACTTTACGGTCCTTGGATCTCGATCAATCTCGTCAGAACCTGCGGAAGCTCACCTGCAACACCCAGTCTCGACGTCGCACACCCACCGTCCTTCTCTCGCTCTCTTCATCTCTGTACATCTATCCTTCTGCTTGATCTACAATCCATCCTCCAAACCTGTCTTGCCCGTCCAGCTCTCTCTCTGGGAACTGGAATGCAAGCACCATCCTAATCAGAGACACGACGCTCGCCTCACTCCACTGACTCATAATGCCATAATTGCCATGAACGCCCAATATTACTCGTCACTATCCTCATCAGCATTGCTATCCCCCGCCAGTTCGGGATCCTCCATGGTCTTCACCACCACAGTCGCTGTCGCGCAACCATGGGAGTAGTCGTTGCGCTCTGGCAAGTGGCCGTAGATGTGACGCAATTCTGGCAACGGGTACGTATGGTGTTACAGTTCTCCCCAGGATAGGCGTTGCATTTGCTCTGCTCGTTTGACACGAGCTTTCTTCGCAACCAATACCTGAGCTTGGTTAGCATGTGCTGCGGCTGACCTCGAATGCGCACATCTACAGAAACTCCGCGATTGGTACACACGCAAGACACCCATCGAACTATGGCTCGAACTACTTCGCCATGCCGAAGCCTTCGAAGACTGGGAAGAGGCGGCCCTGCATCTAGATAACCTGCTTGGACTGGACTTATGGTGAGAAAACCCCCGTCCAAATCGTGTTAGTGTCTCACAAGCACATGCTAAAAGGCTTCGTCAACAGGAGGAATAACCCAACGTCCAAGTATTACGATTACCGCCTAATCAACGAGCGCCTCAACTCCCTCATCACTGCGAGAGAAGTTGGGAACCTGAACCAGCTGGTCAACCTCCTTCGTTCCGGCCTGATTCGCAACTTGGGCAACATCACTGCCCCGACGCTTTACAACCGGTCCTTCGCCGGCACCAAGTATCTAATCGAGGAATACATAACGCAGATTGCCGAAGCGGTCGAGGACATCACCCACTTGCCAACAACACCTGGATCTGACCCTCACGGAGCACCTGTGGGACTTACAAACCAGATGAAGCTGGATTTTATCCACGATACCAGGCAGGCTTTCGGTAGAAGTACGCTCGTCCTGCAAGGCGGTGCCATATTCGGAGTGTGTCATCTTGGTGTCGTGAAGGCGCTGTTTCTACGAGGTCTCCTACCACGGATCATCACTGGAACCGCAACGGGTGCTCTCATTGCCGCATTGGTGGCCATCCACACCGAAGAGGAGCTTCCCAACGTCCTCAAAGGAGAGGGTATTGACCTGTCTGCTTTTTCTGGGAAATCCAAGTCGGAAAAGGGCCCGCAAAAGGAGCAGTCTTACGCAACGAGATGGAATACTCTTTTGCGGAGGCTAAAGAGATTCACTCGGGAAGGCTATTTCCTCGACGTCAAAGTATTAGAGGACTGCGTGCGAGCCAATGTCGGTGACCTGACTTTTGAGGAAGCGTACAATCGGAGCAAGAGGGTGTTGAATATCACCGTTGCAACCGCCGATCAAGGCGGCGTTCCCACACTACTCAACTACCTGACAGCACCGAACGTGGTGAGTACTAGTTTTGTTCTTCAATAGGAAGCGGCAGTGAACTGACATATGCAAGCTTATCTGGACTGCCGCGGTAGCCTCGAACGCTTCCACTGCAACATTGTATGGTCACCGGGAAACCACGGTTCTTTGCAAAGATGCCCATGGCAACATTGTACCATGGGCACCCGCAAACACAATCGACTTCCATCACTGGACTCATGTGTCTTATTCGGACCGCGAGTCACCCCTTTTGAGAATTGCCGAGCTGTTCAACGTGAACCACTTCATCGTCAGCCAGGCTCGACCTTACCTTATTCCGTTCTTGCAGAGCGATATGCATGGCCCGTCGCTCATGGAGACGCGTAATAGCACGACGTCAATTACAGCATTCCTGGCTCGTATGGTTGGCCTAGAGCTCAGGCACCGGCTGCGCCAGCTGGACACGTTACGCCTCCTTCCAGCAGGCATCCGGCGCTTCCTTGTCGACGAACAAGTGCCAGGCGCGTCCATGACATTAGTCCCAGAAGTGACTGCCGGCGACTTTGTGCGCCTGCTCGAGACACCGACTAGGGAAACACTGGACTATTGGATATCGAGAGGGGAGCGGAGCGTGTGGCCCGCCGTAGCTGCGCTTCGTATCCGTTGCGCGGTTGAGAACGAGCTAGACAGATCCTATCAGACCGTTCGAAGGTTGAAGGCGGGCGGGCTCAGGAGGAAGGGCTCAACGGCGGCGGCGGCATCGATGGACAATAATAGCAAGGAACGGAGAGCTAGCAGTCTCGGGGCCGCATATTGACAGCGTCGTTCTCAGGCAGGCTTTGTGGATCGCGGCTGGTCACAAGAAATGACAAGGGGGCTGCAGCTACGATTTGAACAATATGATGTGATCTTGGAGTATGCAACGCCCACGTTGAGACAAGACGCACGCAAGCTTACACTCTCCGCAAGGCGTATCGCAGTTGGGGGCGGCTTATGTACAGATAAAACCAGGTTCTGGTTGGCCGAGGTGGGGCGGACATGCAAGCTTCAACAAACGATACGGTGTTCTCGAGGGCATGCGGAATACGCATCGGTAGTGATCGAGGACGAGATGTTCTCGAAGCTTGCCTCTTTGGGCTGTCGGTCAGACGTTGGAGGCGGGCTCCGCAAGGTGTAGGAGATGCAGGAGGTTCAGCTCGGCCGGTATGAGGGGAGGAGTGATAGGGTGTTCTTAGCTTGTATGACGAAGAGACGCGTCCAGTGACGAGTCTGATGACCCAAATTCACGAGAGCCTTACTTTGTTTTGTTGCTATATCCATACCCTAACTACATGATGCCAAATCTGGAGACCGACGGGTGTGCACCTGACGAGCCTACATGAAAAAGCAACAAGCATGAGCAAGGAGCGGGACCGTGAACGCCTTGCCGCACGCCCTCGCCATGCAGGTGTTTGCATGCTCGTTTATCCCTCATCAGAGTCGCAGTTGTCCCCCTTTCGACGCTTGTGAGCCTTGCCAATGGTCCGGATGGCTAGGTGGAGGTTCCCCGTGCAAGTCGTCATGCATGCCACGGCCACATCCCATAGGACCAACAAACAGATACAGGTACGAGAGCGTGAGCGGTTGGGATAAGGGGCTGGTAGGATGGCTAGTGAAGGAGGAGGGAAGTGACAGCCTGCTGCATGTCTTGGGCGGGCTGCGGCCGGCAAGGGTCCGGCGCAGGAGAGATCGGCACGCTAGAAGCCTTCTCGAAGTTTGTGAATGGGGGCCATCGAAGACCAACGCTAGGATTGGTGGCAGGGCTGGCGGCAATGGGCTGTGGTAACAGACTCGGGGATCCCAACGTTCTTGGCGCTCTTTTTTCCCTGGGTGAATCGGCACAACGGCTCTCGAGACAGGCAGCCAGGGTATGTAAATATTTCGCGCAGAGGTCACAGGATCGCAGATAGTGCGAGGGCCTCCTCCTTCTCATCTCAAGCAGGGCGTTGGCTTTTTGCAGGGGGCTGGTTGGCGGTTGACGATTGACGTTCCTTAATCCTCATGCTGTGGTTATCGTTGCATGCCAAGTAGTTCGGGGAAGTATTCCGGGCTGCTCGAAAGCATATCGAATTCAGGGGGCCGGGCCAGACACGTCGCCCCTTCGCTGGAGGCGTCGCTTTGGGAGCAGTTGGACAAGCCGACAAGGTGGTCGCCCAGATGCCAAATACAGCGTTGCAACGTGTAGGACTCTTTCAGGAGTCCTGCATGTGTCCTGCGTTCTAAATCGCGGAATGGAACAGAGTCCAGGACTCGCGCCCGATAATTGTGGCTCCGCGCCTCGAAGGTGCCGTTCGGTGCTGGCCGGGCTCTGTGCCGTCATGTGAGAAGGACAACTTCGAAGATCTTTCCTGTAGTGGCCGGCGATGGGCCCCGTGGTTCTTTCGGGGGCTCCTGTTGACTCGATAATACTCCGCTGGGCCTTCAGTGCTATTGTGCCTATAGCAGACTGATATAGCCTGGCTCTCTGTGTGGTTCGTGGTGTGTAAGCTTGCATGCTCTTCCTGCACCGGTCCTGCTCCCCATAGGCGCGCTGCCGGCAAGACCGACTGCGGGGAACGGGGGAAACAATGAGCACAGTGGTTGGCTGCCCGGAAGCAGACGATACAGGCCGGGGGTAACGTCTGGCGCTCGGGTTTAGTGTCGTGACGTCGTCGCGCCTTGTCTCTTTACTGGTACATCCATCAAAGACAGCTGAAAAGTTGCCGTTGTGTGTGTTGGCACTGCTGCTGATGCAATGAAAGGCCAGTACATTGGCAGGATGCTGATCGGAGTCCATCCCCGACGTCGGTCCCTGTGCGGTGACAGACAGACTGGAAGCCATCAGATGGCAGAGCGCCAAGAGATCGGAGCCAACTGCAGAGTTGAGTCACAGCCCAAGTCCCGACGAAGATAGGTTACTCGGATGGCCTGATAAGTCGTCGCGAGACGTGAGAGGTCCTAGATCGGCTGGCTGGCCGCCGGCACGCAAGCAAGAGCACCTTTGGAGCAGATTCCGCGCGGAACAAAAGATGTCACTGTTTCGCTAAATAGAGTTTCGGTGTCGGTCCAATAATGCCGCTGGAGCAAGCATCTGGGGAATCCCAGGCCGCGAGTAACCGGCCACACCAACGAGCTCAGGCAATGCCATTACGATCTTGCTCGGTAATCTTGTACTCGTCGAGAACGAGTGATTGGACCGGGGGACTCCTATCTGGCCTTGAAGCCGGCGGAAGGTGAAGGCGTGCGTGCGTACGTGATTTGAAGATTGAATTGGATAATGGTCCAAACGACAGGCTGTAGGGCAACGTCGTGTGCAATCATATTGCAGATGGCCGCCGGGCTGTGTGACACAACGGCGGGAGATTGTCAAGAGGGAACGTATCTATTCGCGCGCCCCTTGCACCGAAAAGTTGATGGTGCCATGCCCGGAGCTGGCTTGTGCGTGACGAAAAGGATGGGATGCTCTGAATGATGTCCGATTTCCTTCCGTATGGGAGGTATGGCTCATCTCTTCGGTGAGAAAGCTTAGCTACAAGACCGTCATTCCGACGATCTTCGAGAGCACATGGCCACTGCGGCGAGATGGTGCAAGCCAATTGACCACTGGTAGCAGACCCAGCGTGGGCAGTGCGCTGCAAAGCATTATTAGTTCAAGGTGGGGGAGGCACATTATGCTTGTTTCCAGGTAAGCCAGGTTGCTTGCGACATCGCTCTGGGGTAAATCACCAGCGGCGAGCTGGCGGCAGGGCTTGGCACTGATTCCCGTGAAAGAATCGAGAGGCGTTAAAGACGTTTGAGGTGGAGCGTGAGTATCCGTGTCCGTAGGTATACTTGCACATCGTGTGGCTTGCGTCTAAGCTCGATCCGAGAACGGGGCGGACGGGCAGGTAACGCTTCGTTGGGTTTCCCGTTTTTGCATCGCTGAGATGGTCCATTACGGTTCTGGACCGCGAGAGCTGGAGCTTTGTCGAGGTTTGATGTTGGCGGCGGCCAGGGACGTCATCTGTCATGTCTCACGATGAACACAGTCCCAGCAACTACGCGGGGTAATTCATTGGTCGGTCTCGAAAGAAGCTAGAGCGCGACGACAAACATCAACGTGTATTTGCTCCGAAAACGCCGGCGTCAAAGCGCGAAAATAAGGGCAGGTATAAGTGTTGAGGTACTGTTCCTCGGGCTGCTAGCCAAATGCGAAAAACGAGGCGAGCAAAGAGCTCATGAGAAGGGTAAGGTAGAAGGAGGAGACAAGTTCAAGGTGTGAGAGCAAGGTAGGTGTTGCGTAAGGTAGGCTTGGGATGGCATTGGCATGCGCGGCAATAACGCCATGGCACCAGCGGTAGCCCAAGCCTGAGGCCAAATTTGACTTTCTTCAAGTCGGGAAACATGCACAGGTACGTTCTTTCTACTTTGCCCGGTGACGGGAGGAAAGTGCCTAGGTAAGGTAAGGTAGGTAGGCGCATACGCAATACCTACGTTAGGTACGCAGTTGATGGACGGGAAGTGACAACTCACGCAAATCGAGAAAGCGTAGGGGAGTGAGTTGCCAGAAGAGAGGAAGAAAACAAAAGTCCGAGATTTCCAAGTATAGCCGTACCTTACCTACACTAAGGTATTTCTTCACCTAGGCGGGAGTTTGGGTTCAAAAAGTACCTCACATCAGTAGGCTACCCCACACCTCTCTACAGCAATCCGACTCCGATCCTCTTACTCCTGTCCGACTTCCTACCACACCCCTTCTCAGTCTTCTTGGTTGCTTGGAAGTCCAGCCGCCCCCGACTCCAAACGTTTACTCGTCCGACCCAAAGAAATCCCCGCCAAACTCCCACTCATCTCGCTTCATCACCCTCCCCGGCTTCCACGCCTACATGCCGCTGCAGCATCATGCAGCGAGGTGCACCGTCGGCGCAGCTAAGTGGCGCTGGGATCGATGTACCTGAGATGACTGACAAAAGGGTCCGAAAGGGAGTAGGGGGAAAAAAAAAAGGGAATGGGGAAATAGAGGTAAAAGACTGGTCAACCCGTGCCGTCCATCGGTCGACGTCCACCACCCCCCAAAGCCCGTCGGGTCACAACTAACCATCCCCAGTGCCAGTCAGACGCTTTCTGGTATAAAGCTCTCCCATTTCGCACACCAACTCTCCTCCCCTTCTCCCATTCCCTCCCCAGTATAACAAACCAGATTGTACATCAACATTGTAATCTACCATTCTGCTCTTGAACTTCAGTTACAAGAGATCTTGTCCTCTGCTATCCTGAAAAACGGACGGCACGCTGCTTCTGAAAACGAAAGCAGCGAGCGGCCTTTCTCATCTCTGGGCACTGACCAGCCGAGCATCACCACTTCTTTCCCACTCTTCTCTGCTGTGCCTTTTCAGGGCCTGTTCCAGTTCCGCCGGACCTGTGGTGAGCAACACTTGTCTTCTGCCCTTGGCCGCTTGACACAGTCTGACGTCGTCTCTGTAGCAGTGTCATTCGGTCCATCTACCACCAGCTTGCGTCGCTTGATCGCTAAGCTCATACAAACTCGACATCCCTCTTCCACTTCTCCTTTCCCAAGATCACCATGATGGCACACCAAGAAGACAACAAGTACTCACATCCCGAGTCCCATAACGCCACTCTGCGCCATCCTGCTGTGGACAACTACTCAGAGCATCGTAGTCCGCAGTACAAGGTCTCCAACGAGCCTTCCTCATCCATCGCTGACCGTCGGGTCGCCCGCAATATGTCAGGCTCCGATCCAACATACACCTCGGATGTTGAAGTTGATGGGGGCTTCGACATGATCTCTCGCCGTGAGGTCACTGCCTCCAGGACTTCCTCGGAGACAACCAGCTCTGAAGACACTGTACTAAACTCGCTCACTACTATAGCGATGGCTACAGCCCCAATCGTTCCTGGGTCCGCCTTGACCATGGACAACATGAACCTCCTTGATACACAGTTACCTCTTGGGAACATAAGCACCTACCAGTGGCTTTGGGGTCAGCCGTGCCCTGGTGGCTTCGACATCAAGGACAACTCGTCCAAAGACAGCATGAAGGTCCATATCTCGCACTCGCGCGTGAGCAGAGCTACAGATAGCTTTGAGAACGAGTATGGCATGGCCAACCACCCTTCCGAAGCTTTCATCACTTGCGCCGGTGATTGGGCCGATGTTGCTGCCGGTCCTGCTCCCGCGGCACTCCACTTGGACATCTAGTGTGTTGGTCTGGTTAGCTTTCCCTCTTTTCCGTTACGGCTTGCCAGCTATCTTGCCTCTCTATCTACCCTTTCCTTCCCTAACCTCACATCATGAGGTTTTCGAGGAAGCTAGGTCAATGGAAGAGATCGCCAAAGGTTGACCATGGCTTGACTTTGATTCCTTCTGTCTTTCGCCATCTATATGGCTCGGCACTTCTCTTTGATGATTGAAAATTTGGTCGATGGATGTTATTCAATGTTGCTCGCTACTCGTTCGTTTAGCGTTTGGTCGATTTGACGTCGGAATTGTTTGGATGAACCACGGTCGTTTTCTTGGAGGACTTGAGCCGCTCCCCCCTCTTCTTGTACACAGGTGCACATTGGGTGTATAATTGGAATGCCAATCATTGATCTACGCTCCCATCCTCGTCATCGTTGCATTATCTCCCGTGACCAAAGTCTCATTAACCTAGACCACCCCTCCCCAGGTCGTCACCGACCCCAAGATCTTCCCCAGGCCCACGGCGGTACCAATGGAGTGTACCAATGCGGGGAAGACAGCGGTTCCCGGCTCCAGTGCGGGACTTGGAGAGACGGCGTCGCATCGCATGGGACGAACTGCTCAGTCGCATCTCCCGCAGCACCCACTTTCAAATCTGATCTCTAAATTTCCCCACGGCATTTTGAATTTAGCCTGAACTTCAACCGGGTTGAACCCATTTCTTGCCATTATCCAGCGTTCATCAGGTTCCGCGTTGCCGGATGCCATCTGCCCACCGGCTACCCACATAGCGAGCGTAGGTAGCAATGGAAAACCCCAATTGGAGAACCATGTTATATTGAGGGGCAGGCGACTTAATGGAAGCACCGGATTCCGTGCTCGGAAGCCCTTTATAAAGCTCACGATGGCCCCTTTTTGATCTGGGCCCAAGAGTCGGTGTATCTGCAGCCAGCACTCGTTTCTCTGTAGCTCACCGCGATGATGATCGCATCTCTCAAAACGGCCTTCGCGGCCTTGCTCTTTCTCTCGCCTCTGGCAGAAGCTCGCCCTCAACATCCTGCGCGAGATGAGAGGGAATGGGTCACCGTCTGGGGGACAATGCCTCAACTGGTCGAGCCTGCCAACTTACCCCCGGCGCCATTTGTGAGTTTTCTTTCACGTCCTCCTCAAAGTGCAATGGCTTTTTCTCAGGAGCGTCCCCCTAACTCCTTCGCCTAGAACGAGACAGGCCGAGTCTTTCACGACGCAACCCTTCGTCAAACCGTCAAAGTCTCCCTCGCGACCTCGACCCTCCGCCTGCAAATCAGCAATGCCTTTGGCGGCTCAGACCTCCCCATCACGGCCGTCACCATCGCCCGGACGGCGAACAACACAGCTGGCACGAGCGGCGTGGACGCCGACTCCCTCCAAGTTGTCACCTTCTCGGGCAGCGGCGGCTTCGTCGTGCCCAACGGCGCAATCGTCTTCTCGGATCCGATCGACCTCGCCGTCGAAGCGCAGTCCATCATCTCTGTCACAATCTACCTCGCCGACGGCCAGACTACCAACAGCATCACCGGCCACCCGGGCAGCCGCACCACGTCCTTCCTCAAGAGCGGGAACCACGTCGCGGACCAGGACCTCGCTACCACCGCCGGCAACGCCACCGCGACGACAACGGATCACTGGTACCTCATCAGCGCCCTCGAGGGTTGGGTTCCCAAGGGTGCCTCGGCCGTCGCCATCGTGGGCGACTCCATCAGCGACGGGCGCGGCTCGACGACCAACGCGAACAACCGCTGGCCCGACCGCCTCCTCGCGCGCATGCAAAACGAGTCCTCCACCAGCGGCATCGCGATCGTCAACGAGGCCGCGGGCGGCAACCGCGTCCTGGCCG